TCTCTGTAACAGCCCTGTGTCAGCACTGCACAGTGTGTGTACAGTGTGGAGCTCTCTCTCTGTAACAGCTCTGTCTTCTCAGGGAAGTCCTCCTTGGGAGTCACGCTCTTCAGGCTGGTGGAGCTGTCCGGAGGCTCCATCACCATTGACGGTGTGAATATCGCAGAGACAGGACTAGAGGAGCTGAGGACGAAGCTGTCAATCATCCCTCAGGACCCTGTTCTGTTCGTCGGCACTGTCAGGTACCTGCTGTCTCTTCCTCAGATACAATAGAGCACATTCATTCTCTGATCTACAGTCAGCATTTAGACAGTCTCCTGGATATCACCATAGCTGAAATGTGACTACAGTATATCAAACCAAACCTACAGTTAACCTATTGTCCACTTTTTAATAGGAATTATCTAATTATTAGAGAATGACATAGTGGACATGCAGAGAGTCTATAGCTGTCTCCTCCCATTCCTGTAATGTGGATGCAGCGTTTAGATTCTTTTTCTCCCAGGTCCAATCTGGATCCGTGGGCTCAGCACTCGGACAGCCAGCTCTGGGAGGCTCTGGAGAAGACGCACATGAAGGACTCTGTGAGTACAGGATAGGGGCAAGCTGGCATCGCAGTTATTGGGAAGACATTTGCCTGTGTATTTGCATGTTAAACTGCCCCTGGATATCAAACAATAGCAGCTTGTAAGGTGAAGCACGAGTTACGGTGTTGTGTATATTCCATCCTGGTTTAACCTATTTTAACATCCTGGATATCAAAGACTTGTAAATTACAAGATGAGGCTCCATGTAGTTTCATTCCATGACAATACACATGATTTTCTATGAGCAGTGCTTGATTACAGAGAAATCAGAAACATGGTGCTCATTACCAGAGGGACTGTTCTCCTGTGCACACGCAGTGCTGCTGTGTGGAGACACAGGCCGCTCAAACACTTCACTCCACACCTGGAACCCGAACCAGCTGCCAAAAACACTGTCAAAGTTCAACTTTGTTTAAAAGTGCTGAGACTGAATGTACACGCTGTTTGAAAATGAAGAAAAAAGTAGTGAATTTTATCCTGCGATGAGCACATTTTTAACACTTTCCATGTTACTTAAATTATTGGATGTTAAAATGTGTTTAAAGGTGGGGATAATCAGAAATCCCTTCGATTTGTTGTGATCTTCAACTTGCAAGGCTGGTTGGGGAGAGGAAACGTGAGTTGAGTTTTGTCATATCATGTAAAATTAAATTTGGCAGCTGTTCAGGTTTACTGCTCCCTGCTCCCCGGTAGCTCCCTATTCTGATACAGGATGCTGCAGTGTGTGGGAGAGAACAGGGAATTAATTGTCTTAGTGCCCTGATACGAGATAAAGTCCTAACACAGGCTGGGAAGACTACAGATGAAATGTTCTCCCTGTAGCATGCATGACCAGTGAAATAAAGCTGGGGCTCAGCTCTGCAGTGGAGATGTCTGATGCAACGAGAGACAGGTGATCCAGTGGCTCTCGGGGGCCCAGTTTGCCTTCTCCTGCTGAAGGGCATCGGTCTTGCATGTGCTTCATGTGTGACTGCAACGTGCTCTCTGCTTCTGTGTGCGTTAGATCGCCCTGCTGCCTCAGGGCCTGGACTTCGAGGTGATAGAGAATGGAGAGAACTTCTCCGTGGGAGAGAGGCAGCTCCTGTGTGTCGCCAGAGCCCTCCTGAGGCACAGCAAGGTACAGGCTGATCTGCAGTGCTCTGCAGAGACACAGTGCTTCCTCGCCAATTCTGCTGAGCACTTTCTGAGCTCGTTTTTATCTTCAAGGACATTGATATATACAGTATATATTGACATTAAAGGTGCTATTATAGTTGCGTGTATCAACTCAGAGTATATTATTATAGTGCAATTCAGATTCCGATCCAAATTATTTGAGTTGTTATAAATATCGATATTAAACAAAATGTGAGATGGAAAGAAACATATTGCTGTGACGTGTTAGTTTTGCCGTTTCTGTTCTAGCGATGATGTGGGGAGCAGTGCCCCCTTGTGGCCAAAAGTGCCCAGTGCCAAGAGTTGTGTTGTAGGAGAAGTGCTTGAGAAGTTAGCCGGTAGAGTTAGACAAATACTGAAAGGACATCCTGCCAGCAGGCTGCATGCAGTGTTCTGAGGTGGGAATGTGTTTTTCACCGCGTTCCCGTGTCAGATCTTGCTGCTGGACGAGGCGACGGCCGCGATCGACTCGGAGACCGACAGGCTGCTGCAGCACACGATCCGCCGCTCCTTCGCCGGCTGCACCACGCTGGTGATCGCGCACCGGCTCAGCTGCGTCCTGGACTGCGACAGGGTGCTGGTGCTGGACCAGGGAGAGGTAGGCTGACATGGGGCGCCTCCCCTCCCGGGTACACTGAAGGACAGCGTCGGTGCCTCCCATCCTGGTCCCGCTCACGTCCGCTCAGCTCGCTGCGAGTTAAATTAACTTCGCCTCTCTCTTTAAAATGTTGATCCGCCAAAGCAGACGGTTTTACTTTGTAAAATGCAATGGCTAAAAGATCATTTGCAACTCGTTTAAAAGCCGAAACCAGCGGGTTCAGAGAAACCAGATCATTAGTCCACTCAGAGGTCGAGTCGTGCCTCTGAACATCTACCTGCGCACAGCTGTCGTGCAGGAAATACCGGGAGGAGGCCTGTAACACAGCTTTCCTGCTGCTGTTTGAAGCAGAGGAGCAGCATGAACGTCTGACTGTTTCCTGCCTGCCCTGAGGGTGCACACCCTGGGCCAGCTGGGTACATGAAAGGGATCCATTTTAGGGATTTTGCTGGTCAAGCTGTTTAAGTGTAGAAGCTCTTGATCTCAGAGAACACTCCCTCATGTTGCTGGGTCCAGCCTCACTATTTCATGGCACACAGCCAATAAACTTAAAGTTTCTGCAGTTTTTTAGGGACTTCCAGATTGAGTTTATCAGGAGGACAAAGTAGGGCCATCTAAGGCTCATCCTGTTTTCTTTTCTTTGACTTCCTAATTCTATTTAACATCTTAAGTTAACTATTTAATCTGCTTTAAGCAAACAGGCTCATCAAGATCAGATGATCTTTGCGCGAGTCAGCACGTATGACGCTGATTCGTCCCCCTCTCGCCTGGTTACAGGTTGTGGAGTTCGACGCCCCCTCTGTCCTGCTGGCCAGAAAGGACTCCTGCTTTCGAGCCCTGGTGGAGGCCGCAGAAGGAAGAAGCGCTGAAGCAGACTCTGGCTGAGGCTCTGCCCCACCCTGTCGCGGCTCCGCAGCCTGACCTGAGACCACAGCTCCCCGCGTAAACCGTGGAAAGAACGACGTCATCCTGATCGAAGCTGTTAATTACTTTGCGAGCACTCCTCGTCTGCGGAATAAACCACTTTCAGTTTCTGTAGTATCGGATTAGATAAACTTTGGACAAGTGCTAAATCAGGAAGGAGCCAACATTACAGCCTCTGAATAATGATGACAAATGGCTCCATTTCTTCTTCTCAATTTGCACTAAACACTTTCCGCATGGCGCCAGCGGTGATATTTGTATTAGTCCAGCAGGATCACTTGATGAGGCAGATTGGAAGCCCAGTGACTTACAGATGGGTGACTTGGGAGCCCTGTGGACCCTACAGAGCAGAAGACTGTTCCTCCAGCGCTGGGCTGCGAGAGAGCCAAGGACACAGTAACTGTGAGCCTGGCCACTTGTTGCAGGCATTTATTTTTCTAAGCAGGGAAACACTGAAACGCTGCGGGCTGCTTATGTTCAGATCAAAGAAAGTATCAGTGGCTTTCTCTGGCCTCTGGGGAACTCATTATGAGGTTCTATTTCTACGTATGGTCTTTGCACATACAGTACCACTGTGGGAGTTTGTGACCTACATTCACAGTGTAACTGGTTTCCAGTTTTAAATTTGTATTTGCTATCAGTCCATGGGGACGTAGATCTCCCTTTGCACGATAACAATCAGCTGTTCTTCTTCACGAGTCTTGCCAAACATTTCTGTCAACTTTTCAAAAGATATAGCTCAACTCCCAAAGAACTTCCAAAGAAAAAAAAGCAAATAAGTACAGAAAACCTTAGCAAAGGACAAATACAGAAGCATGTTACTGACAACAGAAACAATTAACAAGGACTGAATTTCCCTTAGAATACTTATTACAATAATTGAAAGACAGGGAGCATCATGGCTCGCAAGAAATGTTCTATGTGATCATTAAATGTAGGCTAATCTCTTAAATGCCAGAGATTGGACTGAATGGGGATAAAACTGTGAAGCCTAATGTAGTTTGTGCAGTACAGCTATTGCCCACTGGTTTGACCTACCAAACCTCTTTCAATGGAAAGATAGGCTTGAAGAGCAGGCCTTATTTGATCCAATTACCATTATGGAACTAGACACTGTATTTAAAGGGGACACCTTACAAATAGTTCTATTTGTAAGAGTCACTTTAACAGAATGTCTAAGCCTTGTGTAGAAGGATCCACCTCTGAGTGCACCTCAGTTAACCCTACAAGTGCCTGTGTGAGAGCAATAAATCACAAATTGTATAAACTTTGAAAGTATCTGTGAGGTGAAAGTGTTTGAATGTAATGCATACATTTTACTCTCTATATTTTCATTTTTTTTGCACTGTGTACAGACAAACCCTTATCTTAACTGTCTTCCCAAAACAGTGTCATACTCTGGCTGAACTTGCTCCCTATAGCTTCCCCTGTGCACCCAATGTACCAGGGGGTATCTGCAGTGTAAAATGTGACTGAAGAAATGAGCCAGACTGGCTGTGCTGAGAAAATGCACCCCAGATGCTTGAGTAGCACTGCGGTCAAAGAGAAATATCAGTCGTTTGCAAAACTGCACAGCAAAAATACGTCCCAGCTCCGAATATTATTTGTTGTGTAACTGGGGTGGGCAACTCCAGACTGCCGAGGCTGCATTTGGTTTTGGTTTTTTAATATAGCTTAGACCTTAACCTTAACTGAACTAATGGAGAATATCAGAAGATCAACTGGCTGTTCTCCTGGTATGAGCAGGTGCTACTCTAAGCTAAAGGAGCCCATAGGAACCTGGCACCCCTTAGCTGGTGTTACCCACTCCAGATATAATCTGTGACATCAGAAGACCTGTCCATAAGTTTGCCTTGTTAAATTACTGAAATGAGTATTTTTTTCAGTTATTTCATTACAGACTTTTATTAAAAACACAAGAATATTTTAATAAAAATATTTTGTACAAAATGGGAAAATTAGATCTAATTTTTATTCTTTAAACGGATGTGCGTTGTTTGAAAATTAGACTAAGCTTTTTTTTTTACTTTTCCCATTAATACCATTATCAGAGTGGATCTGGCTAGCAATCATATGAGTGCAAACCTGATCAGACACAAATCCCCACAAAGGGAAATACGTGTGTGCTAATTATTATCATTATAAATACCACAGCAGTTAAAAACTAGAGTTTCTGTAAAATAACACACTTGCAAGACTTTAGCGACATGGCCTTTGTGGGCAATAAGACATTACATAAAGATTTCCTTAGTGCTCTTCTAGAACAATAATAGAGAAGAAAATCGATTAACCCAATACCTGTTCAGTAATTTTGAACTTCACCAGTTAAATTACCATAAATGCTCCAAAATAAGTGGAATCCTCATTCAAATACACAGAGTGGATGTCATGAACCTTCAAAATGAGCTGGTCCCCCTGCTGCAGCTGGAACAGTGCCCCCTGGTGGCTGGAAACTAGATCGCGTTCCAGCTCCATGTTCCAGCATCCAGTGGAGGCAGCCTTAGAAAGAAGGATAGGCTCCTGGTAAGATGTCTTCCTGTATATGTAGTGTAGAAAAGGCTGGGCCTGCTCCTTGCCAGCTGGGCGCTGCGAGTGGTAATAAACCTGGGAATAGACAAAGTAAAGCCCATCTCGCGGCACCACTATGCCTCCATCCTGACTGTATCCCATCATGCCTTCTTGCACGGCCATGCCATTCACATTGTCCCAGCGTACAACGGCTCCTCTGGGAGTCGTCATGGGGCCCCATTGACTGCCTGTGGAGTACAGAATAAAGACAATGAGCAACAAGCTTTCCTACGGAAATCGAACAAGACACTAAATGCAACACCGTCGTGTAAAAACATGCTCCCACCTGGCTTTAGCCACAGAAACTGTCTCCAGCCCTGCTCGGGGCCCAGGTGGATGGCTGGTTTGTTGGCGTGGGTCAGGGACACATTGTGGGCTGTGAGAAATAGATGAAAACATCACGGAAAGAAGTACCTTATAAAAACCCCACATTTGCCTTGCAGATGGTCTGATACTTATCACAATGCCTACAGTACATGCTCAAAACCTCCAACTTTCGTTCGTCTTCTTGATCTCCAGCATAAACAAACGAAGCACTGTGCTTCTCAAAAACATGCCGCAGTGACTCAGTGCAACTGTCGTGACACTTGGGCGGAGCGGTGGCTCTGTGGTTAAGGATCTGCACCTGTGGCTGGAAGGTTGCCGGTTCAAATTCTGTGGTTGGCAGAGGAATCCTACTCCATTGGGAATTGTATATGCCTACTAAAGTGATCTTTAGGAGCAGTGCTGGGCAAGGGAACCTGTTGGACAGGATTCTGACAGTGTGCTGTGCCAATGAGGACAGTGATTTGAATATGTTGCAAAACAAAAACATACCTGTAAGCTCCTGATACAGGGTGTTCCTGACATCAGATATCAGTTGCTGCAAGACAAAACAACAGGCTCCAGTAGTCAGCACTAGAACGAGAGCGTGTATGTGGTGGACTGAATGACATATCCCACTTGTCTACGTCACTTATTTCTCTCTTGCTTGGGACTGCAAGGAGAAGGGAGCATTACAGATCAGGACTCCCATTGAGAATGGAATTGCGTGTTTCTGTTCTGTTATAATAATTCTTTACACTTAAATAGCACTTTTCTGGACACTCCACTCAAAGTGTTTTACAGGTAATAGGGACTCCCCTCTACCTAAGTGCAGCCAGAGGGCACCAGTACACTCCCCACACACCAGCTCTCAGTGGGGAAGAGAGCAGAGTAATGAAGCCAGTTCAGAGATGGGGATTATTAGGAGGCCATGATTGGTAAGGGCCAATGGGAAATTTGGCCAGGACGCCGGAGTAACACTCGTCGAGATTCTTTTGAGAATCATCCTGGAATTGATAATGACCACAGAGAGTGAGGACCTTGGTTTTACTGAGTGTCCCTATCACTGTAGTGGGGCATTAGGACCCACACAGACTGCAGGAAGAGCACCCCTACTGGCCCCAATAACACCTCTTCCAGCAGCAACATTAGTTTTTCCAAGGAGGTCTCTCATCCAGGTACTAACCAGTCTCATTCCTGCTGAGCTTCAATGGGTCGCCAGTTGTGAGTTGCAGTTTGATGTACTGTAGCTGCTGGCTCGTCTATTAAGCTCTCCTTTCCCTAGTCTTGGTTAGTCCAGCGTGAGTGAATCACTGCCTGTTAAGTGGGAGTCTCGTTACCTTCCCGATAGTTTTCTTGAGCTCCGCATTCCACTGGTCACAGCCGGCAAGGTCTTCAGAGCTGAAAGATGCATTTTCTCGAAGGCCTGGATCCACTAGGTACTGCAAACACTGTACAGGATACTCTCCGAGCCTGGCCACCTCCTGGGTCTGGATAAGTGAAGTACAATCAGAGGCGTAATTGCAAACGCAGGACGCATACTTCTGCTCTGTAACCGGGCGGTACAAGTACCTGCGCCTCTTGTGTTTCGAATGATCAACATGGACTCAAAATCACAGTTCAACTCACTTTTTTTTAGATAACGATTAACCCGGTAGTCATCAAACAATTTAAAAGTTTTTAAAACATCTAGAAAATGAGCGGCTTATATGCACAAAAAAAGTAATTCATAGTACAGGAAATCAGTATTCCGACAATAAAAAACATATTCAAGCAAACTAATGTTCCAAAATAGTTTTCATCGCCGTTTTATTCTCTGTCTCCTAAGTGAAGTCCAGCCAGAACTGAAACTGATCTGTTGCTGAGCAGCGCGTACAAAAGTCCACCGACATTACTGTACCTTCAAGGAGTTCTGTAAGGATGAGCAAAGCCAGTTTTTACTGTTTAATCAAGAACAGTGTGTATTAATATGATAAGCTTACCTGCTTTATTTCCAGAGCCAAACTGTAGAACAGATAGGCAGCCCCAACCACTTCCGCTCCGAGTAAAAAACACAAAACCAAAACGAAACTATTCCAGCTCCCGACGCTCAGCTTCCTCTTGGGCGACAATTTCTCCTCCAGCTGCCTGTAGATGCGGTGGGTCTGGGACTCGGTAGTCATGTTTCTGTCGTGGGGATCCACATCGTTATGATAACTCAGCAGCAAAGATTAAAAACAGGGTCTACAGAGAAATGGGAGCCCCCCCAGCCGCCTTACTGAGCCCAAGCAAACCTGCCCGTTACAAGAACTGCGGTCCTTCCCAGTCGGAAAGTCCCGAGCGCAGTTAACGCCTCCTGAGTCACTGTGGGTGGGATGAACGTTTTCGGAGGCATTGATTTATTTTGGTTTAAACCTTTAACTGCAGTTATTTCTACAATTTTAATGCTAGCAATTAACAACAGCGACAACGAATATGATGATATTATTTTTTTTTGTTTTTGAACTTCACAGGTATGCATGCATGAATGCGTTTTGTCGCAGCCTGAGAAAATGTAGACAACACACAGCTGACCTGGACCTCATCTATGGCCATCGAGATAAGAAAGATCGGTGAAGAAAACTCACAGCGGAAAAAAAATAAATAATGTAGCGCACGCATTATTTAGAAAACACAACAAACTATCTTTAAAATTAAGACAGAATCGAAAATTGTAAACTACTTAAAAAAACGAATCAGAGGACAGGGGATGATTGGATTAGCAGAAATGAAAAAAATGTTCTCAATCTACATCATCAAAAAACCCCAACAACAACAGAACCTGTTCATTCTCCGAAGACTTCTTATTCTGGAGAAAATATAGTTTTGTTGACTATGATGTCCTGCCACCACTGTTGCTGTATTTACAGTATATTGTACATTATTAAGCAGTACAGTACTATATTAATGAACAGACTTGTTTGCTCTCTTTGCAGTCGTGAATAGTGGGCTGGTTTACTGGGGGAAGGTTCAAATTCAACCCTATGGAATTTGCAATATATCCATATGTCTGTTTATATAGGATCCGCCCCCCGATCTTCGGAAACTTCCGTCAGTATGTCTGGCTGCTTCGGCAATTTCCGTAAGCGGGTCTGGCGGATCCGGCACAGCGATTGTGTTGTCTCGCCGTGGTTATTCGGTTCCCCTTTCGTGTGTTTCCGCGAAGACTCGGCACTTGTCGTAGCGGAAGGGGGAAAGCCTTTGCTGTGATGCCGCTGGAAAGATGGCCGCTTTCGGGATCCTGAGTTACGAGCACCGGCCCCTAAAGCGGCCGAGGCTCGGGCCTCCCGATGTTTATCCGCAGGACCCCAAGCAAAAGGAGGTGAGGAAAGGGGGCTCCGGGCTGTCTGAGCCCCAGCAGGGCACTGGAGGGGGTGCCCGAGCGGGCTGGCTGGGAGTCGGGCTTGCAGGAGAGTCCGAGGATGCAGCCTGGGCCTGTTTTGTGCTTCAGTAACAATAACAATGAGCAGATACACAGACGTGAAAAATGACATTAGGTTCTTGCAAAACTGTTTGAGTTTTACGTGCAGCCGGAGAGCTCAGTAGCCGCTGTTGTACAGGGACTTGTAAAAATAACACCAGAAATGCTGCTCACCTTGTGTTTTTTAATAATTTTATATGCCCAAGGTGGTTTTCTGCCTTAAACATAGACGCTGTGCTCCAGTGTTTATGGCAGAGATGGGAATATTCCCGAGCAGGCTGAATACACCACAGCAATGTGTTTTAATTATGCACGGAGCTACGGTTATCAGTAACTGAGTGCAGCAGTGGTGCTAAATGACGTGACGAGCTGTTGTGCACTAGCTCTATGAGCCTGGACGCCGGTTTGTCGTTGAGAAGCAGTTCTGCTGTCCTTCTAACCAGTCCCGTACAAGAAACTTTACAGTTTCAGTGCGGTTGTGATCAGCCTTCCCCAGATCGTACCGGGGTGACTGACGGCGAGAAGCACTTCAGTCGCTGCCCCTTACGGTCTGAGAGACGTTTCTGAAATTTCATGTCTTATTGCTGTGTGAATAGCACACGTAGAAGGCGTCAGAGGTCATTTATCAGTGTGGAATAGTGTATATAATATACATATATATCGCACTACTGCAACGACATAGCTTGCTGCCGAGGTTCTTGCAGCCCAGGGCACTTGTGCCAGCTGGTTTGGAAAAGAGCCCACCAGCACAAAGCAGGCAACATTAGATAACTCTAAGGAATGGTTTTCATTTTCAGTTTGTAATCACGACAGTCTTGTCATTAAGCACACTGCTGTTTATATATCAGTGTGGAAAACACTAGCTTGTCAGGAGTCTGCAAAGTAAGAGGCAGGGGGGCAGGTTTGGGTGACATTTTAGACGAGACACGGGGAATGCTTTCCTTTTTTGTGTACAGCTCGGTGATCAAAGTTGTGCCTTGTGGGATGTCCTGTGTCTATCGTCAGTGCAGCTTTCACACTCCGGTGTTTGCAAACGAAAGGCCAGTGTAGCCCGTGCGCCGGTGGGGGAATGGAAGTGTGTAGCACCTCCTGTCCCAGCCGCAGGGTGGCGATGACAGTGCTGTGCTGCTGGCCACTCAGTCTTGGTGCTTTATCCCGTCAGGATGAGTTGACAGCTCTGAATGTGAAGCAGGGGTTCAATAACCAGCCGGCGGTTTCGGGGGACGAGCATGGCAGCGCCAAGAACGTCAACTTTAACCCCTCCAAGGTAAGGAAGAGTCCTCAAGGTTTGCTTGGCCTGCGTTCTTCAGTGCCATCTGGTTGCAGCAGTGTGTGCCACTGTAGGAAGCAAAAGCTCTCATTGTCTGCTGAATTTGTGATAAGTTGACATGGGTTGATGGAGTTGTGTACCTTTTTGTTTCTTTGGCTTTACTGTAAACAGAAGGGCATTTGTGAACATGAGCTTTTGAAAGATAACAACTTAACATCGCCACTCTGATTGTCTTTATTTCACCTATGTGCTGTTTTTGTAACTGATGTTATTTGTTTGGTTTTCTTTGCTTCTCAATAGATAGTCCTTTAAGTAATACTTCAGCTTTCTGTCAAGTTATGGGATAATAATAGTGGAAGTCTCTAACCCTTTTAGTCCATCCACGCTTCTGTTACAGTATGAATTCAGTGCTCATTCGGTTCACATTCTGTTCACAGATCAGCTCCAATTTCAGTAGCATTATTGCAGAGAAGCTGCGATGCAACACGTTCCCCGACACAGGAAAGAGGAAACCCCAAGTCAACCAGAAAGACAACTTTTGGTTGGTCACTGCGAGATCCCAGAGCTCCATCAACAACTGGTTCACAGACCTGGCTGGAACAAAGCCTCTCACCCAGCTTGCTAAGAAGGTGTGAACAGTCAAATCCAGTTCATCATGCTGAACTTTCTCAAGTTATACGTTAAGTGTTATGCTTGGTACAAAATGCATTTTTCTTTTAAAATGAAAAGAACACAACTTCACATGAAATGTAAAAAACACATGTAAATGTGTTTATGGAACTTCAGTCTGAATATGTAGATAAAATAATTCTGAAATTAACTGCATGTAAGGGAGAATGATGAAAGCCATATGTGCCTCTGAGAGCCTTTGATTCCTTTTTGTTTGTCCTTTGCTTTGACCAGGTACCCATTTTCAGTAAAAAGGAGGAGGTTTTTGGCTACTTGGCCAAGTACACTGTGCCAGTAATGCGTGCTGCATGGATGATCAAGATGACCTGTGCCTACTATGCAGCCATAACCGAGACCAAAGTGAAGAAGAGGCATGTGATTGACCCCTGTATAGGTAACCACTCCTCTCCCTCGTCCTTCATGTCAGTGTTGCCGAGCTTTGACTGATGTGAAGCTGTTGATTAGTAGCATGCTTGTAGCGGGGCTTTTGGAACTCTTTAGGAAGAAGACAAATGTTTTTTTTGTAAGATGTTGAAAGAGTTTTGTTTTCATAGCCTTCAGCAGTCCGGGGCAGGATCTGATTTCACCTCGGTTACTTAAAGGCTATACAGTGTTAGTTGTGCATTTAACTGCTTCATGAAGGACACAGTAAATATAATTCTGTTTGACCACAATGCAAGATGTTCCCCTTGAGCCTGTAGTTTTTTTATCGTTGTGCCCGTGTGCAGAATGGACCCAGATCATCACAAAGTACCTGTGGGAGCAGCTGCAGAAGGTGGCTGAGTTTTACCGTCAGTCGTCCAGCCAGGGCTGTGTCTCTCCACTGCCCTCCACCCCAGTGGAGGTGGAGACGGCGATGAAGCAGTGGGAGTACAACGAGAAGCTAGCCATGTTCATGTTCCAGGTCAGATGAATGCAATTCGGCTTGTCCTCCTGGAGAGTGTAATACAAAACTCTTCCAGACATTTAGTTGTAATCAAATATTTATAGATGTCTTATTATATTTCCCTTATATATTAGTGTTTAGTGTTCAGAAGGGTGATCACTTTTCTTCCAAGGTCCTCCAAAGAGTGTTAAAGGAAATAATGGATTATTCAGGGATGTGACATTCAGAGCAGGTCATGTGTTTGGGGAAAAGGGTGTATCTTCGGTGCTCTTGGAGGTACAGTAGCTGTGTTGGGCCGGTGCAAACTGTAATTGTGTAAAATGGTGTCTTATTTGTGCTGCCCGGTTCGCGTGTTTTTAGGATGGCATGCTAGACAGACACGAGTTCCTCACTTGGGTTCTGGAGTGTTTTGAGAAGATCAGACCAGGAGAGGATGAGCTGCTGAAACTGCTTCTACCGCTGATGCTGCAGGTAAGCTGACACAGGCGCTGGTCATGTAGTTGCAAGAACATTTTCCCAGGTTAATAATAATAATTGCTTACACTTATATAGCGCTTTTGACACTCTACTCAGCGCTTTACAGGTAATGGGGAGTCTTCTCACCCTCCACCAATGTGCAGCCCCACCTGGATGATGCGATGGCAGCCATAGAGCCATAGAGCGCTCACCTCACATCAGCTATCAGTGGGGAGGAGAGAAGAGTCATGAAGCCAATTCATAGATGGGGATTATTAGGAGGCCTTGATTGGTAAGGGACAATGGGAAGTTTGACCAGGACTCCGGGGTTACACCCCTACTCGTTTCGAGAAACGCCCTGGGATTTTTAATGACCACAGAGAGTCAGGACCTCGGTTTTACGTCTCATCCAAGGACGGTGCCTGTTTACAGTATAGTGTCCCCGTCACTATACTGGGACATTAGGACCCACATGGACTGCAGGGTGAGCGCCCCCTGCTGGCCCCACTAACACCTCTTCCAGCAGCAACCTTAGTTTTTCCCAGGAGTCTCCCATCCAGGTACTGACCAGGCTCATACCTGCTTAGCTCCAGTGAGTTGCCAGTTGTGAGTTGTATATTGATATGGCTGCTGGCTTAATGCTGATCACCAGCGTTTCACAGCGATTCCTAATCCAACTCCAATGCTGCATTTTCAGATGGTATCTTTCCCACAGTGTTTTCCTGTTTCAAATAAAAATGTGTCCAGCCCTGTGCTTGTTAACGGTGTGTGCTTGGCCTTTGTGTTGCAGTATTCTGGAGAGTTTGTGCAGTCGGCCTACCTCTCCAGAAGGCTGGCCTATTTCTGCACGCGCCGGCTGAACCTGCTGCTGAGCGATGGGACTGTGGGACCAGGAGCTGGGGGGCATCAGACCCACAGCATCACGGCTCAGCCAGGCAATGCCTTGCCACCCACGCCAACCCCCCAGCCTGCGGGGGGCAACCAGCCGCAGACTCCCTTCACAGACTTCTACATCTGCCCCCAGCACCGGCCCCTAGTCTTTGGGCTCAGCTGTATGCTGCAGGTAAGATGCTTTCTGCCTCTTGGGGTGTTTACCAGCACCTCTTTACATCTGGCAATTTTTTTTAATGCTGGGAGTTTCGTTTCCCCTGCACTGCATTGACCATCATCACCCAGCCTGTAATTTGTTTTTCCTGCACTGTGAAGGTCCATGGTTGATTGGTTTGTTAGTCTGAATTGCTCTTTTTCTGTTAGTCGAAAACCGGTTTCACCCATTTCTAAGGTTCGAGTTGTAGTGTGGACTTTGAATTTGCTGTGTCAGAGGAACATTTCTTTTTTAGCAGTATGTGGTTGAAAGGAGTAGTTGCCCGAATGTCTGGATTTTGCTGCCTTAGCACGCCTGTGACGTGATAATTCAGCCTGTCCTCCTTTTCTGCAGAGCATTGTCCTGTGCTGCCCCAGTGCTTTGGTTTGGCACTACTCCCTGACAGACAGCAGGAACAAGACTGGCTCCCCCCTGGACCTGCTGCCCATTGCACCTTCCAATCTGCCCATGCCAGGGGGCAACACCACCTTCACACAGCAGGTACTGCTTATGCAGGCATGGTCTGCTGCTAATCCTACAGCCCTCTCCCTTTAGAGGTGTTTAATCTGTTCGGTCACAGCTGCTTCATACATTAATTGTTTTTACCCTCTTGGGACACGTGTTTAACCAAATGACACATTTTATTACACATTACAGTTTTCTGTAATTTTATGTCCTTCCTCATGCACATTTATGACTTTTTATCAAGGTGATATTTCAAACCCACAGCTTGTCAATCATGACTATTTTTACTATATTATTATGGAAGTGCCAGATTAACATGAAGAAATTCTTTCAGTGTTCTTTTTGGTCATTGAGTGCTGATTATGTTGTGAGGGCGAGTGCCATTGTGCTGTTCTGTAAAGATCTATTTCACAGTCTAGGTCATAAATATATTTTTCAGCATTTGGTGTCTGTAGTTGTCCTGCTGGGGGTTCCTGTAGTCTGAGAAAGGTGCAAGAACTTTCCCCTGTTGAGAGTGGTGTGTTGGCCTGTGTTCCAGGTTCGAGCGAAGGTGCGGGAGATTGAGGAGCAGGTCAAGGAGCGGGGCCAGGCTGTGGAGTTCAGGTGGTCCTTCGATAAATGCCAAGAAACTACAGCAGGTGTGGAGAGAGGGATTCCCATCTTTCATTTTCTAAGAAATTTCAAATTCATCTGCATAAAAATAAGTTAGTGATGTGCTTTCTACCCAACGTGTCCCTAATTAGTTCTCAATGGGGATCGAATCTGGGTGCTTCACTTTGCCATGACAGCCATCGTGAATTCGATTTTAACAGAGACACTTGACTTGTTGTCTGTCCGCAGGCTTCACTATTGGCAGGGTGCTACACACCTTGGAGGTTTTGGACAGCCACAGCTTTGAGAAGTCTGACTTCAGTAACTCGCTGGACTCGCTGTACAACCGCATTTTTGGGTCGGGTCAAAGCAAAGATGGCCACGAGGTGAGGCCTCTCAGCTCCTTTAATGCTGTTCGGTGTGTTAAGAAAGCATGTTTTGATTTAGAGTGCTGTAAAGTTTACTTGTCACTTTGGTTTGCTGTTGGTTCACAACCAAAGCCAGTTGTGTTTCAACAGGCAGTATTTGGGTTACAGGTGTGTTTTTGTGTTTGTAGGTCTCCCTTGTGTTGATGGATAAAATGAAAGCACAGCCCTGTCTTCACCAGAAACCTCTGGGGTATTGAGCTGCTGCTCTCTGCCACCTGACCAGTTGCTCTTTACTTTTACAATGCAGGGAAAAATCAGATACAGCACAATCAAACTAAGATAAACAAAATCCTTAGGTCTTCTTGAACTACTGACTGAACCTCTTTATGAGGTCCTTGTTTTTCATAGCTGAGCAGCTAAGCTGCTTACCAGCAGCAGAAACACTAACTCTTCCAGATTGTTAACAAGGCTCGGTTCCAGTCTCACTCTGGGGCTTCACAAAGTTCTTGCAAACAAATGGAAGTCTCTGTTTCTCTGAGACTCTTCATAATATAAGAACTTCCAAAATGAGGAAAATCTCATGGTGGTCAGCACAGAAAGATTTTGCTTACTGGTTTTTAAACTGTTACCTGAGCAGTTGTCTTCGAGCTTTGATTATTTTGTGAAGAGCATTCTCAGTTCCCTTTTGACTTATAGTTTTGTTTTGAATAATAACATTTAGCTGTAATACGATTATTATATAGTTGTAATAACATTTTTATTAGAATGTCACAAAATTATAGTGTCCATGGTGCTGGCTTCTGTTGTAGCATCATGCCAGTGAGGTACATGGGGACAAAGGTCACAAAAGCATTTGCTTGCCGCTGAGATCTCTGAGAGTGTTCTCTGGCCTGTCCTTGCCTCCAGATGAACCCTGACGATGATGCAGTGGTGACATTGCTGTGTGAGTGGGCTGTGAGCTGCAAGAGGTCTGGGCGACACAGGGCCATGGTGGTGGCCAAGCTGCTGGAGAAAAGGCAGGCCGAGATTGAAGCTGAGGTAGGCGCCGACACGGAATCTGTATGCTTGGCATTTGTGTTCAACACACGTCTTCAGGCAGCTGTGCATAAAAAACATCTCTTGCATATCCTGGACAAATTATGACAAATTAAAACACCAGCGATACCTATTGAGAAAAATGATTTGCTTAGTTGCAGCACTTTCACTGTTGCAACCATATGTTGTCCTGTCACTCCTGAAGTGGTCCAGTGGTAGTAGTTTAATCATAACAAATCTGCAGGAAGAAAGCTTTGTATGCTAATTACAGAAGGGGTGAGGTATCTGTGATCAGAATGCCTTACTTTGCAAAGTCTTGACCCCAGCACTGATGAGCCATTGATGTCGCAGATGTGCAGTGTGGAGGACTGTTCTGTATGTGCTTTCTCTCTGTGCACAGCGGTGTGGGGAGTCAGAGGTGGTCGATGAGAAGGGTTCAGTGTCCTCAGGCTCGCTCTCTGCTGCTACCCTGCCTGTCTTCCAGGACGTCCTTCTGCAGTTCCTGGACACACAGGCTCCCATGCTGAGTATGTCCTGCCTTTGGCTTGCTTGGTTCCAACCAACTTCAGGCTATTAGTCACAAGACAGTAGATGCATATCTCACACAGATTAATAAATATAAGTTGTATATGTATTCCTTCCTGTTTGTTGTTCAGATTTTGATTTGTTTGCCCGTCTCACAGTTATCCAGGGTTATGACCAAGTCTTTTATCACGAGACATCATTCTCGAGTGTTTGGCGTTTCTCCTGCCAAAGATCACTTAAAGGATTGACTTTCTCAAAGGCTGGAATTTGATTTGCTGGCATGATCTTTTTGCAGCTGAGCCTGGGAATGAGAGCGAGCGGGTTGAGTTTTCAAACCTGGTTCTCCTGTTCTGTGAGCTGATCCGACACGACGTTTTCTCCCACAACATCTACATGTGCACGCTGATCTCCCGCGGGGACCTGGCTTCTGACTCCCACCTGCCCCGCCCTCGCTCCCCCAGCGACGAGCCGTCGGACGAATCGGAGCGAAAGGAGCAAGAAGCAGCAAGCAGCGTCAAGATGGAGGTACTGGACCCTTTCTCTCCCTGTAACTGCACTTAAGGACTGCCAGCACAATATTATTGACGAGTGCTCAAGAAATCTCACTTTTGTCTCTTCTCATTAGGATGCTGGTCTCTCTGAATCGATGGAAATAGACCACAACTCCAGCGCTATTTTTGATGATGTAGTAAGTTTTTCTACAAAAGCCCTTGTTCATAATCTGACCAGTTTTAAATTTGTTTTAGACATTTAATGAAACAGACTATATGCAGGAGAATTGATTCGCTCGGTTGCACGCTGTTGGTGTGCTTTGGAGAGTGCAGCATGTGGGTTGCTTTCCTCCCCCAGATGTTCTCTCCACCAATGCACTGTGAGTCTAAAGGCAGCCCCTCGCCGGAGAAGCCTGCCCCCGAACAGGATGGGAAGAGCACTACGAAGGACAAGACCTTGGACCCTGCCTTCCCCCTGGTGTATGAGCTGCCACGGCACATCCAGTATGCCACACACTTCCCAATCCCACAGGTGAGCGAGACCAGTGTGGAGGTGTGCCCACACTGACAGGAAACCAGGATTTGTGTGTCAGGTGTGTCGCATGTGATATTATTTTTGTTTCCCTTTTTTAGAGTACTTTTAGAGCACAAAAATCAAGTTAAACCTGCTGTATGTACATTGTTTTGTGGTATAGAATTATTGTTCTAACGTTTTATCTCTAAATGTTTTTGATGTCAGATTTAAGTGATGCTTAGGGGTGTTTTGCTAGTACTGCCGTGCTTCCAGCAGGTGGCAGTGTCAGCTTCCACTGATGGGCCTTTTTTTCCCCTGTTAGGAAGAGAGTGCCAGTCACGAGTGTAATCAGAGATTAGTGGTGCTGTACGGTGTGGGGAAGCAGCGTGATGAAGCACGGCACACCATCAAGAAAATCACCAAAGATATCTTGAAAGTGTTGAACCGAAAGAGCACCGCGGAGACTGGTATGAGCAGTGAAAAGTGTTTAGGAACCTGAGAGCTTGCACACCAGGGGAGGCCACCCAGCCCATACAGATCCTCTGGTTACTAGTAGCCAATTGATTTGAGGATCTTTTCCGCTCTTTATAAGATCCCAGGGTATCAGCTTAGATTCTATGCTTCAATAGCATGTTTCAGACTCCCATGTCCTTAAAAAAAAAAAGCCTCACTTTCTTCCTTTTTAATGAATTTCTGTGTAATTTGCCATTGTTTCTTCTGGCTCATGTTTCACTCTTTAATCTGTAGAAGCTGACTTTGTCAGTGTCTTTGAGGATTTTAAATACCATTGTTACTGTGAACAAGTTAATTGGAAGTAAGAACCTTGTTAACTAAGTTTTCCTTTTAAAACTTGAACAGTCTTCATAGATCCGGACTGCCTTATACGAACCACATTTATATCCTGTAAAGAGGATTCAAGCAATTTTATGCAGTGTAGACTGTTGTATCTTAAGTATTCATCTGCTGTCTTGTGTGTTGGTGTCAAAGTGAGGTACTTGAAACAGTGGAGTGATTCATGTTTCAGCTTTCAACTGATTTCATTCTTTTTGCCATTTTCCCTAAAGACACTTGCACTTTTAAGTGCAGCATATATTTTATATATATATAACTATTAGGTGAATCTAAGTCTTCATGAAGTTTTTCACTAAATTAAATGACTTTTTCTGTGAGATATTTCTTTTGTGATTAAAGTTTCAAACTGTTTTGCCCTAATCCACTGAAGCACAACCCTAGTCCTTAAGGACTTCTCTGGTCTGCATGGGGATGTAAAGCTTTAATTTGGCTCCTGATGTCCTGCAGTAAATTTAGATTAGCTCTGTTATGCTGCTTTGACAGGCCTTGGGTAGATATGGATGAAAAATTAAGGAGAACCTTGGGCTTTCATGGGCTGGAGCTCTCTCCATTGTCTGACCACTGTGTGATCTCTGGATCTTTTGGGGAAAGACGTTTTCTTTTACTCTAGGAGGAGAAGAGGGACAGAAAAGGAAGAGGACTAAGCCAGAAGCCTTCCCCACAGCAGAGGACATCTTCTCCAAATTCCAGCACCTTTCCCATTTTGATCAGCACCAGGTCACCTCTCAGGTGAGAAGGACCACTGGTGTCCTTGGCGCTGTGGCAGGCTGTCGGCAGTGAGATTCTGAAGTGGAGCTTCTCCGATGGGCTGAGCATTTGTTTGAAGTTTCAATATCTGCTTTCATGTGCATCTGCCAGAAAAGACATGATAGAAAGTTAATGGCCATCTGCTGTCATTTGATTTTCTGCAAGTTCGGATAAATGTGTGTGTAAAGTGTGGTTTACTGACAGCGTAGGCAAATGCTCTGCATTTTGGCTTTTAACAGAATAGCAGTTTTGTTGCTTACCCCAGAGCTCAGCATCATTAATTTTATCACAGTTGTATTACAGTTTTTCTGTTGTTTTGTGTGTACATTCCAGGTTAAGTAGAAACTTGGTTGATGTCTTTGTGTTTCTGATTGTCAGGTGTCCCGGAATGTCCTGGAACAGATCACCAGCTTTGCCTTAGGGATGTCGTACCACCTCCCCTTGGTCCAGCACATCCAGTTCATCTTTGACCTCATGGAATACTCTCTCAACATTAGTGGGCTCATCGACTTTGCAATACAGGTATCAGCAACTGGATGGGGTGCACTGTGAGCACTGCTTTAGGCTTCCAAAGTAACTTTTTGTTAGGACATTGTATTCTGATATTGTTCATTTGTGCATTAGTTGCACATGTCTAACATCGCACATCACAGGGTAGTTCAGGTGCCCCTTTTGTTAATAATAATAATTGCTTACACTTATATAGCGCTTTTCTGGATACTCCACTCAAAGTGCTTTATGGGTAATGGGGATTCCCCTCCACCAGTGTTCAGCCCCACCTGGATGACGTGACAGTAGCCATAGTGCGCCAGAATGCAACAAGTATACTTGTTGAATTCCTTAGTTTTTTTGGGAATAATTATATATGTATTTGTGCTGATTTAATAGTTATTCTCTACTTTCCTACCATTCCTGGACTGGACTTTTTTTTGGTCTGTTGACTTAAATCACATTTTGATGTTGTCTGTAGATTTGAGTGTACTGGAACATTTAGAAATGAAAACAGTAAATTGTGATTATTTTAATGGCTAGCAGGAATCTATTGGACAAACAAAAACAGTATGTGTACATAGATGCTATACAACAGTACACAATACAGAGTATGAATAATTCGGCAGTGATGCAGCAGATCACTTACTTGGGGATTACAAAAATATTGGTAATAATAGGGTTAGACTATATTAACTGAACACTTGTAAACCTCATAATTTAAAAGTTTTGTATAATAATTTCAAAATTCACATACTTGAAAACAAGTAAATAGTAACTGTCATTAACTAAACTTTATCATACATGTTTGGAATAATAGTTTAATTCTCTGGGTTTATAATTAAATATTGAACTTACACATTTATATACATATACATATACACAACTAATGCAACACTCTGACCAGGCCATTCTGTGAAGAGATAAAGCTGATGCTGAATTTGTTGCAGCTGTATTGCAACAAAGAATTACTGGCTAGAGTTGTTTTGAGGTTGGTTTACCTTCGAGCTTGGTTTTCCTAAAAGGTGTGCACAAGGTCTGACCCAGGTCCAGTACATGAGTGAGCAAACATTGCTCAGCCTGCTAGTAGCTGCTCTCCCTGAATATTCACCAATATTCAGACTTGTCAACAAAAGTCCTAAAAGAGGCCCTAAACTGTGGCAAGCTTGTTATCCATTAAAGACAGTAGAAATATCTTTTTTTTTTCTTACCACTTGGTTCTCAAAGGTGTGTTCATGTCTCACTATCTTCCTCTGTGTAGCTACTGAATGAGCTGAGTCTGGTGGAGGCTGAGCTGCTACTGAAGTCGTCCAGCCTGGTGGGCAGCTACACCACAGGCCTGTGTCTGTGCATTGTGGCTGTGCTGCGGCGATACCACTCCTGCCTCATCCTCAACCCTGACCAGACTGCCCAGGTCTTTGACGGGTACGTTTTGACCACGGCTTTGTTGGCCTGTCCAGATCCATTTTACATGACATTGACTGCATTTTCGAAACCCACATTTGACGTTTTCAGTTTAGTAGGTAAATTAAATTATTTTGATTTGAGAAAAAAAGGCAATCAAACATGCTCATGTTAAAGTGATTTTGTATGTAAAAAAGTGTCATGCAGAGGTTGTAATATGTGTCTGATGGAGGCCATGTGTGTTTCAGGCTGCGGATCGTGGTGAAGCATGGGGTGAACCCTGCAGACTGCTCCTCTGCTGAGCGCTGTATACTGGCCTACCTCTATGACCTCTACACCTCTTGCAGCCACCTCAAGAGCAAGTTTGGGGAGATCTTCAGGTAAATCAGGAATTTTGGTTTTATGGTACCTAACCCTGTTTTCTTCATGTCTGCCTATTTGCATTTTGCAGAGATTCCTCGATATTTAAAATGACGTTGGAACATTTTAATTCCAAAATGGGTGTATTGAAATATCCGTGAAATGGTATGATGACTGTGTGGGATGCGGAACAACTTTTTACCTACCCTTCTTCCTTGACAGCGATTTTTGCTCCAAGGTGAAAAACTCTATCTATTGCAACATTGACCCCTCCGACTCCAACATGCTGTGGGACCCCGTGTTCATGATCGAGACGATCGCCAACCCCTCCGCTCACAACTTCAACCACTCCATGGTGGGAAAGATCCTCAACGACAGCCCAGCGAATCGCTACAGCTTTGTGTGTAACGTGCTCATGGACGTGTGTGTGGACCACCGTGACCCAGAGAGGTGCCCTTTCCATCCCTTCATACTGTTCTATAGGATCGTCTTCCTTCCTGTAATGTCCGATCGGCCTCAGTGCCTCCTGTTGTAGAAACTAGACTGGTTACAGTTGCAGTGTGTACTGTTGTCTTTTTACTGTGACTCATGTGGGCCCTTTTCTTTAAGTGCTTTCCACATTTCTGCAGTGTGGAAGGGCCATTAAGTTCTCCCAATTGTTTTGATGAAACCTGTTCTGTTTATTGTGGTTGTCTTCAAGGACTACTCATCACATGCTCCCAAATGGCTCATTTGAAATGAACTCTTTGACTCTTAGCAGTTTCCATGCACATATAGTCCAACTATCCTGAACCTCAAGATCAGGAAACGGGGAATGCAGGAATGATGGCGTGACTTGTCTGTGTCTGTCTCTGGCAGGGTGAATGACATTGGGATCCTGTGCGCAGAGCTGACTGCTTACTGCCGTTCTCTGAGTGCTGAGTGGCTTGGAGTACTCAAGGCTCTGTGCTGCTCCTCCAATAATGGAAACTGTGGCTTCAATGACCTTCTCTGCAATGTGGATGTAAGCATTGTACAGATATTGTGCAACCTAAACAGAAAAAGTCACTCATTTAGATGTCTGGTTTTCGGCTGCTGGGGTTATTCATGATTTATTTGTGGTGTTCATGACTGATTGCACAGATCTAAACCAGGCAGGTTTTATTAACTTTCTTTTCTAAGCTGCTTCTCTCCTGAAATGTTGTATTAAATCTTCTCAGTTGAAGTAGGTAACTGGTGTAATTCTTGTTATAATGTCTGTCGTCCATAAAGGACAACACAAGATTAAGGATGACTGTGGTAACCTTGTAGCTTATCTGAAACATGCATTCCCTTTTAATCACTCTTTAGGTCATTGGTGGTTTATTTTGTCTCGCATGCAAAAGTGAGGTGCTGTGCATTGAGAATCAGTAATAGGGTGGTCAAAGGATTACAAAAAATTAAGTGAATTATATTTTAAAAATGCAGCTGAATAAGTGGCAAGAACATTCTGCAGTTCTGCAGGCGATCCATCTGCCTCTTTTGTTCCCCACATTTAACTCAGGTGAGTGACCTCTCCTTCCACGACTCCTTGGCTACCTTTGTTGCCATCCTGATTGCTCGGCAGTGTCTGCTTTTGGAGGACCTGGTTCGCTGTGTAGCAATACCTTCCCTTCTGAATGCAGGTCAGTGCTTCTCCCAAGCCACTGGTGTGAATCACCAGCCTTTCTAGGAGCACAGATTGTTCTTTCATTTTCAGTTCAGTTTCCCATTCAGAGAGTGCTGTGTAAAGAGAAACAAACTGCTTTTAACCTTTGACAGTCTTTGCAGAAATTGAGAAATGCATTAAAATCTTCCTGTATTTTATCTGCTCGCATTTTGATAAGCTTGTGTTTCTTCAGAACTCGATATGTTATTAAATGAAATCCATCTGGTAATTTCTTATTGCAAATGATTCAATGAATCTTTACAGTAGCGAGTTCTTGTTTGCGAAATGCCTTTAAGAAAGCCTGCCTTTCTGGTATTCTGTAGGTTAAGGTTGCGTTTTTGCAGATGCACTCTTTTTTTTCACCGTAGACTTAGTTTGTGAATTTCTTTTTGTGTTAGGACGCTTGTATTTCATTGTGAAAGAGTTGTCCATCATTCTAGGCCTATATTTAATAACTTGTCAGCACATGGAAATAAGCGTTTCACACTCTGGGCTGTGCAGTTTAACTGGAAGATATGGGGCTCTGCTGCAGTGTTCCGGTGCTGTCTGCAGAATAAGGAATGGGGGGCTGTGGGAATGTCAGGCAGAGGTATAGACATGGGCTTACTTTGATCTCAGACGCTCAAGGCTCTTGCTTTCCAACACACTTTGTAGTAAGGCCAGAGATCTGTCAAATTTGCAGATAAACCACATCTCTTGTTGCCTGAGGCAAAAGGGCCAATTGAAAGGTGGGTTGGAGATTTGTTGAAAGCAGTTACGCATGGTGCCCAAATATGCGTGGGCCATTTGAGGGCATCCAGCTTTACCGATCTTTTTGATATTTTGCTAATTCTAACCTTTTTTTATATAAGAGGGTATTTTCTTAAAAGCTAGACTTGAAAGAATTCTCTTAAAATGTACCAAAACGGTCCTGATGCTCCCCCTTCGTTTCTGGTTGGATACAGTGCTCCCTGACTCCTGGTCTCACTCTTGCCTCCTCTCCTCTCAGCCTGCAGTGAGCAGGACTCAGAGCCTGGTGCAAGGCTCACCTGCAGGATCCTTCTTCATCTCTTCAAAACCCCCCAGCGCAATCCCAGCCCGCAGGACAGCTCCAAGTCAGGTAATGCAGCCCTTTGCAGGGTGGGTTCTAGCTAAAGAAAATGAACTTTAAAGAAAAGAATATGTCATCAGAGAGGTTTCAAGCCTCTCTAATCCAGAAATCTGAAAAGCAATAAAAAAGTTGCTGTAAGCATCATTTTTCATGGAAGGATGTTTAGCTTGCATATATTTTGCTTACTTTTCCTTAAAGAAGTAATGTATCACTGCAGGCTAGTAGTTTTTCTTATGTCCACAGTCTGGTAATGTTTCAACATTTCAACTTTGTGACGCATCTTGCCAACACTGCTATGTTTGGTGCATTATTCATTGATTGTTTTGGAATCAACTCATGCAAACCTGAATGCTAAATTCAGTAAAATAACTTATCTTGAAGAAGAGCTTTCCTTCATGCACTTTTGGTGTGATTAGCCCATCTCCACATGGAATAATCACAGCACATCAAGACATCTGCTTTTCAGCTGTTCATTTGGAATACTAAATTATTCCATTAGGGCCAATCGTTCCTCGTGGTGGGAACGCTAAATTGCTCTGTGGTTCCCTTTCTCGTTTTTTTGTCATTGTTTCAAAACAACATTTGACAACTTTGATAATCATCCCCCTGCTGTGCTAATTGCTGTTAAGCCTCCTGTGAGAAATGCTTGAATATTGCACACATTTAAAAACCTTTCTGACCCCTGTCTCTCATTTCTCTCAGATAAGCCCGCTGTCGGTATTCGCTCATCTTGTGATCGCCACCTGCTGGCTGCATCCCAGAACAGCATTGTAGTGGGGGCAGTCTTTGCCGTCCTTAAGGCTGTGTTCATGCTGGGTGAGCATTGCAGTTTTTGATCTTAGGTGCAACCTGGGATTTGCAAGTGTAGTTTTACCAGAGTCAATGAATTTGTCCTATGTCAGGATGAGGTATGGAGTCTTTATCTGCTGTCCTTTCTTGTCTAGGATTGACTGTTCTGCTTGGTCCTGAAGCCGAGCTGTGACGTGTTCAGTGCAGCATCTGCTGCAACTGTTAATAGCATGCCCTCATAAACATCCGAGACATTTGAATGGAAGGAATTTAATACTGGATCAAAAGCTAACGAGTCTCAGCTGCATTCCTACAGTAATTTATAGACATATAAAACTGATTTTATGTAAAACCTAAGTACTGCTATAACAAACCCTACAAAACGTATCTGATTTTAAATGAATTTGTTGTGACAAAATTGCACAATCCAAAATTGAGTGTAAATACCTGGTATTGGTACTCTTTCCAAGTGCTGTCCGGTTAGCTTTTCCCTTCCCTAACCTTTAATGGACATTGAAATGACAGTTTTTCAGTTTAAGGAAGAATAATTCTCAAAATGTTATTTCCACTAGAGGGCAGCTCAAGCTAATTAATTGATGCAGTTACCGTTCGGGATGCAGCGTTGCTCTGGTTATTTTGCTTTGGATACATTTAGTTGTCAAAAGGGTACGATGTACATGACATGACAATGTGCATTATTTGCACATAGATTAAGGGAGATCATATTGATATTGATAGTTTCTGTAGGCTAACCTGTATGCTTGTTGGTTATGCTTCTTAGTGTTAAATGCCTAAATGGAAAGTTTTTTTCTTTTTCTGTGTTCAGAGCTTTTTTTAACCTTGTTATCTGAATTTTTGCATTTAAAGCGATGGGCTTTTGAAGTGTTTTGAGTAGCATTTTGAATAAAAATGCAAGTTATAACCAAATTTTGCTGTCGATGAAGTTTATTAGTAAAAAATCTAAAGTCACAGTGTTTCGTGTAGTTAAAATTGATCTAACATTTTAAATGGCCAATTTAAATGTACTTGTTTTGGACTGTCATCCAGTTAATGGGATACAGATCAACCGCATTGTCTTTGTGCACCTTGCTCCTCCCTGACTCCTTTCTGTGCCTTTCTAGGAGACGCAGAGCTGAAGGGCTCTGGTTTCCCTCACCCTGCTGGGCTGGATGACACTCCAGAAGATGACCTGGGTTCCAAGAAGTCAGGTGGTCGCGCCGTTTCCATAGAAACGGCCAGCTTGGATGTGTACGCAAAATACGTGCTGAAGAGCATCTGCCAGCAGGTAGGGCTGTGCCTGACGGGAGCAGGAGTGCTACTGATGAGCTGGCTATCCATTGTCATTTTCTCTGGGGTTCATGTTGTAGTTTCAACCAAAGCTGAAGATATTTTTCTAATAGAAGATTATAGAAGATCTTTTTTTACATTATTCATTGAATGTTCAAATCTGTTTTCCTCATGAATGCACTATTTCTGTACTTTTTACTGCCTTAAACGATGGACCTTGCAGTCTGTCTGTTTGAAGAGGCTCAGATGTTACAGGTTAGAATAGCAGAGAAGAAATAAAATTGTTCCTCTTGAGAGCGGCAGGGATGAGGGGATAAAATCTGAATGGCACTGGCTTTCACAGATGGAGCTTAGGGGGTGTTAATGATACAGTTGGCTGAACAAAGCACCTTTGCTGGAATTAGGGGCCTTACAGTGATGCCTCAATAAAGAATTTAAAGACAGCATTATTTTCTTTTGTGCACTGCTATGCTCTTTTCCTCCCAAGCTCTGCTTTCAGACATCTGGTATGCTCATGAAAAGGCGGAGAGATTTTCCGATCATTTGCTGTTTTACTGCACTGCTCACGACCTGCCTAAGAAAATAGATTAACAAAAACAAAGATCCCCTTCCAGCTGTGAAATCGGATCCTGTCCTGCTTTCTAGGCTGAATTGCAAAGTTATTAAACTGTCTTAGAAAAAAAAACAGAAGAAAAACACAAAGGCTCTAATGTATTTTTATAGAAATTAAGCATTGTTATTCTCCCTAAATATAAATTTATCCAGAAATACTTCATAATAGTCTGCACATCCACATCCTTCTGCTTGTATTATCATCTTTTCTTCTAATCAAAACTCATGCGTGTCAGAAAATCATAAAGTTGGTTTCAAGTTTCTCTGTTGGCTTATGGGTTGCTTTGGAGAATGGTGTAGAGTACTGTCATTAGGGTGCGCTCTTTCTGTCCTGCATCATTTCTGTTTTGATCATGAGTATTTTCCGCACAGACGTCTCAGACTGTGGCTGAGCTACCAGCGATGGCAGCAGTGTGCCCTGGGCTCATTCTTCCTTCTCTCGCAGGAGTGGGTGGGGGAGCGGTGCCTGAAGTCCCTCTCGGAGGACAGCAGTGCCCTGCAGGACCCCGTCTTGGTCAACATTCAGGCACAGCGCCTCCTACAGCTCATCTGCTACCCTCACAGGCAGCTGGACAGCGAAGAAGGGGAGAACCCTCAGAGACAGCGCATAAAGCGCATCCTACAGGTAAGGCACAACCCTGCACCATGCTGTGCCAGTTCCTCCTTCTGAATTAGAATACAGTCTATGTAGTGACAACAGTTAATCCCTGTGGCACCAAAAGAGTCTTACAGTTGCATTCAGTTCACTAGGGGAAGTCAGATACCTGATCTTACAGTTTATTCCACTGCAGAATTTTCATATGTCCATTTCTATCATTCATCGATATGTGAGAAGCTGGTTTGCTTTAAAGATCTTTATTGGGGGGTGGATTGGATTGGATTATTATCACCTTTACATTTTTTAGAATCCTGGAATTTTCATTTCCCTGGAGCTTTTGGATTGTTTTTTAGCCCACCAATTGCTCTTCTTCCCTCTTGACCAGAAGTTTACAACCAAAACCAAGGTCCTGTCACTATAGGATCTGGGGGTATTGACCCTGATGTCCTAGCTGAGGTAGAGCCTGGGCTTGACCAGTCTCACCTACCTGATTATACCCCCTTTGTTCAGTTGGTAGAGCAGTAACTTATGTCTCTACGTGATATGCGGTGTAATGGGGTTGCTGGCCCATTGTAAGAAATGAGAGGAGGCCTTTCGAATACTTGAATCAGAACCCCCTCGTAGTCTTATCTGTTCAGCAGCTCTTGTCTGCTTAAATAGGACATTCCTTTAAGCCAAGGAGTGTACCTTGTGCTTGTTCTCTGGACAAATTCCACAGCACTAATATTTATAAAATATGCAAAAACACTTTTATTTGTACTTTGCTGACTAAAATGTTAGACAGTGGTCTAAATGGGTCTTGCAAGTGCTGTGTATAATTTTAACACTCCTTGATTTAGATTCTACACTTTTAATTATCCTTATCTTGTTTGACTTTTTATTGCTTACCCTCAGTGCCTAGAAGATGTAAATATGTCAAAATCGAAGTCTTTTTGCATAGGCATTTATTTTAATTTTCAGCCTTTCCTATTCTATATTTATAGTGTTTCTTAGCATGTTGACTAACTCCGGGATCTCACTGCTCTGCAGATAATGGCTGCTCAGCGCCACCAAGCTGGGCTCTTGGCTTCAGTGGTGGATGAAATGATTCCTCTACTTTATGCAGAGCACTTTGTGATGAGAAGGTCTATATAAATTCATGGAATTAATAATAGTACTCAAATGCAATACTCAACTGTTAAGGCATTTTTTGCCCACTTCTCAGGACCCAAGACATGTCAAAGCTGCTGTGAGTTTTCAAAGTCAAAATTAAGCAGGTATCTGTTAATGTGACCTGTTCTCTGAATGCTGAACGATAGCTGGGTCTGGTTCATTTGCTGCCTTCATTTTTTTACACATCTGATTTTCATGCCGACTTAGTTAAAATAATGTAAACATTCTATAAGTTTAATCTGTGAAAGTGCCTGAAATGCTAATATTATTTCATTCCTAGAAAATAAATACATTGCTTTTCTGGTGTTTCTTTATGCCAAATCTGTAATACAGCCAGAATTAAGTCCATGTGATAACCATGATTACCAAGAGGAGATTCTGATGCTTTTATTTCAAATGATTACTAATATGTTTATGTGCACATTTTTTTTAAGCTGTCCTGCCTCAAAGTACAATCAGCTGGACAAGGAAGTACATCACATGGTTCTTGTAGAGAGAAGCAGATTAATCTATTTCAAGGGTTTATTGTGAATCACACCTGAGCCTGTGGTTTGGAGGATAAATTAAATTGGCCTTTCTGTAAAGGCTTTGTTTTGTCCTGAGAGCCCTGGGATCTTTCTCCTAGCTGAAGCTGAACCTATTCTGCTTTATTTACTTGCAACATTTTATGATGCTGATGCCTTTCAATTGCAACACTGTGTGCTGGAGCAGCAGTAGGCCCAGCTCTTCACGGCCACATGCTGAGCCCCACATTTCGGACAGTGAGGCGAGCCAGGCATCTGCCTCCGCTGTGCTGGGCAAGAGCAGCTTGGGCAGGGAAAAACAGATGCTGCTGAGGAAGCAGAGAGGATATTCTGTATCCAGCACTGGATACGATCTGGTGTGTAGCTTGACAGTGAGCCCTTCCAGTAAACTTTCTCCACTAGCACTCTGCAGTCAGACGGCTGGGGGAGTTTTACTTAAGTTGGATTTAGAGGATAAATGAAAACCTCTGTGTGAAGTTCTGCTGATGAACCACCTTACGATACGCCTAGCTTTAACAGCAGCAAAGGGGAGAGATGCAAGCCCTACAGAACATTGTTTCTTTTCTGCTCAGGTGGTTCAACCAGAGATTAGTGAGTGGGCAGGAATGTATGAAGAAGCAGCAGTCTTGTCAGGAGAAGCCTGATGTCCACAACTAAACTGTTTATGAATTGTCTACACAGGCACTAAAGAAGCAGTGCCCCTCCTTTTATTAACTTTAATTGACTTTTGAATCTGCAGTGAATCTGTTTAATTTTCAGAGCACTTAACCAATTGATTACAAGCCCATTTGATTTTTAAAACTGTTTTAAGTGGTTTCTGGATGGGTGAGTTCCTATAGCCTGTGAAAGATAGTTTCCCTCTGTGCAGGAGAGGATGGCTTCAGTCTGATTCCAGTTGTTCGCGGCTGATTTCTCCATTATCGCATTCCAGAAGAGGTCTGAAAACGAAGTACCAGATGAGGCATAGGGAGTAGATTTGTGTGATGGTGTCCTTGGGTTCATTTTTAAATATTTGTGCTTTTTTCTAATGTCTTGTATAATTATATGCTTCTCAGAACATGGATCAGTGGACCATGAGGCAGTCCTCCCTGGAGCTCCAACTCATGATTAAACAGAGCACAAACAATGTAAGTTTCCAGTTTGCTTGCTTGTAAGGATGGATTTTACAAGTTACAGCACTTGCTGGGGTAACAACAATATTGAAAAGAACAAAGGGTTTTAGGATAGTATAACCTTGCCCTTGGAAGGGATTTCAGTCTGGAAAACCCTCTCCAAGTCAGATCCACAATGTGCAAATAGAAGATCTTAAGGAAGAAAATAGGATTCGATTCTGTTCATCATTGTTGTTATAATAAAAGACAGTGTTAAATCTGTTATTTTGTGTGTGGAAGGAATTAAACATAAGCTTAAGTGTTAAAAAATGTTTTTGATTATCCAAAGCCCCTAAAGAAAACGACAGTAAAGATTGACAGTTAACTATTGCTTTGTCTAGGTTTAAAAGAACTTTGAAGGCCAAATCCTCCGAGTCCAAGCAGTGCTCCACTGTGTGTGAAACCGTCGTTAAACCAGTCTATGAATGCCTGTGCAGTAACACAGAAGCTTTTATTAGTTTTCCAGCTCACATGCAAATCGGTTTTGTTTTTACCTTTCAAAGCACTGGGGTTTATCAGCACACGCTTGACCGTGCAGTCTCCGGAGGCACTTGAACAAAGCAGCTGCAACAGCCTGTCCTTTTTCCGCTTCAAACCATTTTGTGCTTTGAAATATGTTTTGTTACAGTTCAGTACTTGTTTTGGCATCTATCCCTTCTCTTCTGTGAGTTTCGGAGGTATTTTGGAAACTTGCTTTGTGGCTGCTGTGCCTCCACTGGGTCCAAAATCTCCTTGCTCCATACAACTGTGAATAATCAAGTCGCTATATAGTTTTGCCCTCAAAAAAACAGACTTCTCCGCAAATAAGTAGAAACAAACGTATACTACTATTGTGTTTGATTGCAAGCACAATTTTTGGACATTGATAGGTGTCTTTCACTAGCATTTCTAACTTGTGTTCTTTACAATGACATGAGGATTTCTACGTGTTTACCCTGGTTTTATGTTATCACTGTAAAAAATCCATAATCTATTTTTTACTTATTTTTTTAATTATTGTAGTCGGAGCTTTGTGTTCAAGAAAGAGGTAAAAGGACTTGTGTTTTGTTTCAGGAGCTAAACTCCCTGTTGGAAAACATTGCGAAGGCCACGATTGAAGTGTTCCAGAAATCAGCTGAGATGATCTCCAGCAATCCCCTGGGCAATGGCTCAGCTGTGTCTGGTCCCATTCAGGGCCCAGTGACCAACAGCAACAACGCCAGCAAGATGAAGCCAGTACTAAGGTTGGTGTTTTCTCCTTTCCACCAATGGGACCACACCACAGGGCTGCTCTTCCACAGAGCTGCTGATAGACAAGGCACCTTTCCTGCCTTGAAAACACATCAAAGTCAATCTTTATAGCTTCTGTACTCGAAGGGCTTCTTTCAATTTACCTTTTATCTTATTTTATTTTTTTGTTTCTGTAGTGGTGACAGTATATAAACCCATCTCTAGTAAATCGGGCATACTTTTTGTGACTTGCTGAATGTTCTTTTCTAAAGGAATCTCAACATTCAAGGTGGTTGCAGGGCTGTCACTTTTATTTTACCACCAAACAATCTAGTCCCCTGTTATTGACAGATTTGTCTTAAAGAATTATAAAAGAGTCTTGAATACCTTTTTTGTTTGAACACTGATTAGCCTTTTGATATGCAGGCATCTCCTGGTGTAAGAATGTAAGTAAAGTTACAATCCCATAGTTTCCTCTTGTGTTGTACTGTTGATTCTGAAGGAGTCCACGGTTGATTGTCCCTGATTTTTCCCCAGAGTAACTCAAGAGCAGCAATAAGATAAGATCACTTTATTAGCCATATACAATTACTTGCTTTAGGAATTTGTCTTTTCCTTTATTTGTATCATAAAAATGGATATACAAAGGTATTCCAAATGAGGTCTTCCCATTACATTGTACAATTTTAACGTAACATCCCTTGATTTACATTTTACACTTCTAACTATATACAGCAGATAGATGTATCACTAATGATGTATTGCTGATCTTCTGTCTGTGGCTCCAGCTCATCAGAGCGCTCGGGGGTCTGGCTTGTTGCCCCTCTGATTGCCAAGCTGCCCACTACAGTCCAGGGCCATGTGCTAAAGGCCGCAGGTGAGGAGCTGGAGAAGGGACAGCACCTCGGCTCGTCGTCCCGCAAAGAGAGGGACCGCCAGAAACAGAAGAGGTAAGCGATGTTGGGCTGAGCCCTACACAGCAACAATAATGGTTGCCCTGTCGGGATGTGCATCCCTTTCTGAGCTGACTGGTTGGTTTAAAATATTGTTGTGTTAGTCAGCTTAGCTGATTCTCAAGACGTTACAGGTAAATTGAAGGATGAAAACTTTAACTCAGTTCTGCGATGTGTGATACCCTTTTTTCCCCAGCATGTCCCTCCTGAGCCAACAGCCCTTCCTGTCCCTGGTGCTGACATGTCTGAAGGGGCAGGACGAGCAGAGGGAGGGGCTCCTGACTTCCCTCTACAGCCAGGTGCAGCAGGTAGGGATACTCGCTCACTCCACTGGGGATTCAGCTGGCATTGCTGTAGCTTCAAAAATGGCTTTTAGTTGTACATTACATACAGATCATGCATTATAGTCTAGCTGTGTCCTGGGTGCTTGATAATCCTGCTTTTGCATTCTTGAATTTGATAAAATTATGAATTTATCTATTTAGACGAAGTTTTTAGTTGCTGAATGTGGGCCCACTTGAACGTTGCAATGAAATTAGACTTGCTTCACAGATTGTCACCAACTGGCGAGAGGACCAGTATCAGGATGACTGCAAGGCCAAACAGATGATGCATGAGGCTTTGAAACTGCGGCTCAATCTGGTGAGGACTTGTGTTGAGCACCTGCGCTGTTATCTGCTTTTTGCCTGGCATGAGTACACACCCTTCCCATACACCAGCTGTCAACACTCATGACTGATAGCATGTATGGGGGAAAATGTGGCTGGAATGTAGGCTAAAAAAAATAGAACGGAATTAAGTCAACAGTTAGCTTCAAGTGCAGCTGTAGTTTGTCCTTATCAAAAGACAGTTTGCTCTCTCCATGCAGGATGTCCAGTTCCAAATTCTTTATTTTCTTTATCACATGCATTAAACCTTTTAAAGTTAAAAATAAAACTTTATTCGTAATCCTTGACCTGTTCTTAGTGTTCCTCTTTTTTGGTGTTTAATTATTTTGTCACATCCCTATAAACGTCTACATCTTAAAAACAAAAACATTAAAACTCTGCTAATTGAGAAACAGGGTTTTCACTCAACATCACAGTTGCTGAGAGTTTTGCCATATCAATCCCTTAAGCCGAGTTTACAGGTGATGCTAATCACAAACCCGAGAACCTTTCCAACTCGGGTTCAGTTGGCTAATTTACGTGCATATGGTGGTGTTTTTATATTTTTCACTTGTTCAGTGAGTCCTCCGGCAATATTCTTTTCAGTAGAACAAAGATATATTCAGTGTACATTATTGACTCTTATATTGTAAAATAAGTATGGTAAATGTAAAAATAATTGAGTTTTAAAGTGCCATACATTATAAAATAAGGTCTAAAAGCTCTGAAGAGTTTCTTCTCCATTAGTGTTGAAACCGAGTCCGTGCTGGCATGGTTTTCATTGGAAGGGAACCCATTTTCTCTGCTGTCCTCAAGCCTGTGGTTCCCTGTACACCCTGCAGGTCGGCGGGATGTTTGACACGGTGCAGCGCAGCACCCAGCAGACCACCGAGTGGGCTGTTCTTCTCCTGGACATCATCAGCAGCGGCACTGTGGACATGCAGTCTAACAAGTGGGTCCACACCTGCCCCCCCTCCCCTGTACTGGCACTGCACTTGAGTGCAGAAAGCCGAGACGTGTCTGAGCCACACAAGGCCTTACCCATTCAGCCTGCTTAGGGGGCAGACAAGAGTTGTGCGGAGTGAATGGGCTCGAGTGGTCGTGTCAGCTTGTTCTTGTATTAGCTGGGCTGTGTTCGGTGAATAGATTTACCAACTTGTCTTTAGACAAAGGTGTGATTGCCATACAGTTCTATATAGAAAAGAACTTGAAAAAGCCTTGAACTCCCTTATTTAAATACCTATTTTTGAAGTTTCCAGTGACAAGCTTGGAACACTTTAACTGTATACATGCCTGATTGTGGAATCCAGGATTGAGACAAATTTGTGGGAAAAAATGGTATCAAAAGATGCTTTAATGAAATTTTTACAAGGCAGTTCTGTTATCATGTTGTACAAAATCTTAGTTTAAACTGTTATAACATTTTTAAAAATCATGTAAAAAAGTGAAATATGTCTCAAACCTAATCTTCTGGTGGCATTTTTAACAGCTTCTGAGCCTGTTTGAAGTAGTGTTTTGAGTGATACATATTGCAGAGCACTGTTCTTTGGTGACGCACTTTGAAACTAGAGCTCATTTTATATCTCTAGGTGCCGATGTTCCCAGGCCTGTCTAAATTGCCTGAGATGAATGTTGTTAAGATTGCTGAAAAACCGAGACTGAAACCTGACATCCTTATTACTAAATTAAAATCCTCAAGGGTACATGCTGTTCTGAATATGATATATTCTAGAGTTGGGGAAAAAAGGGGGAATGTTGTTTATCTTTTAAACAGCTTTTGTCTTTTGCTTGCTTTAATAATAAACTACTCAGCACAGTCCAGTAAAGTGATGTTTCATGCATAATATGTCTTCCTGCAGCTCTGACTCCTCTGGCCTCTTTCAGTGCCTGGCTGACCTCTTTCTTTCTCGTGTGTGTTGCAGCGAGCTGTTCACCACTGTCCTGGACATGCTCAGTGTACTCATTAATGGTACGTTAGCTGCTGACATGTCCAGCATCTCTCAGGGGAGCATGGAGGAGAATAAGAGGGCCTACATGAACCTGGTCAAGAAACTCAGGGTAAGACATACCTGGCCACAGGGCTGTCTGGGTTATGTTGGCTTGGCTTTTTGTTCTGATCTTCCTGTTCTGCTCTATGGTATGAAAGTGTGGTGTTACAGGATTTATGGTGTTTTTTATGGAAATGCAAAAAATCTGTTACTGAATTTCAACTGTTTTTTGTCAATAGTTTTAAACAAATCACAATTTGAATGGTATATTTTAGTAAGCTTCAGAATAAACTTTTTTTTTATTGGAAACAAGTATTTTAACCATTGTTGTTTATCTTGGTATCAAAATAGGGACCTATATTAATGACAATACACTTTTTACATGATGAATGGAATAATTGGATTATCCTGTTGGATTATACAGGCAGTGCATTATAGATTTATTTTTGTGGTTGTTACCTCACTTCATATTGGGTTCCTTAGACACACATGATACCGGTTGTGTTCTCCTTAAATTGCACTTACAAATTAATATAATTGAACAATGAGAGGACATTTTTAATATTTTAAGACAATATTTTACTAATATGTCACTGTGAAAGGATGGAAAATAGGTGTTTTAATTCTGGTACTATGCTCTCAGTTCAGTTCTGACTGTCCTGGTTTATCTTGGTATTTATGGTCAACACTATTTTTTTTTATTTAACTTATTTAACTCTGCTATAGGTAATGTTACCTTTTTCTGAAGTTTTAAAAACTATAGTAACTTATTGATAAGAAGATGCCATAAGTGAGTTTATCTTCTTTTCAAAAATTTAAAACATGATAACTTTATATTATAAAGGGAACATTATAAGCTGATTCCTAGCTTTTGTTGAAAGATTGAGCCAGCTGTAAGTAGGGGGGTAGGGAATCCACTATTTAAGAAATTGAGGGACACCTCTGACTCTTGTGACCCAGTTACCTAATAACCTTCAGACTGCAGCCTCAGTTGAAATGATTAAGTAATTTTGGCCCATTTCTTTCTAAAGGTTTTATTCAAGAAACCTCAGCATAATTCATTTGTACAACTAACCAGTAAGAATTTGTGGGCGCATGTGCATCTAATTTAAAATCTTACAGCCCTTTATAATCGAATTACCATTTGACGGATATGGTTATCTTACATTTTGTTCTGTAATACTGCCATACATCCTGTAGGTCTTGTCAAATGTACTCTTCCTGCATCCAGTTTTGTTGTTCAGCCTTGTTAAGATTTAATTCTGAAACGAGCTGGTCAAAGCAATTAAAAGCACAGCGAAGCTGTTGATTGTAAAGGAGTTATCTAAATGAGTCTGGATGATTACCTGCTGGGTGAGGCTCAGGCTGCCTGCAGACAGAAGTCTTAACACTGAGCTGCCTTGACATGAATGTGATTCATTCTGTTGGTGTTTGTTGGGTGGATTTAATTTTTTTTTAAAAGCATAAACGTGAGAAAAGGGGGTTAAAAGGCTTCCATAATAAAGGTTGAGTCAAACTTTCATTCACTGTGCAGCAGTGAAGAATGTCTAGTGAAAGTCCGTTTGGGATGTCTTGATCGTTTGGCTTGGGTGCTACGAGTGGAAGGGTGTTCTGAGACTCGGTTCCTCTGCAGAAGGAGCTGGGGGACCGTCAGTCGGAGAGCCTGGAGAAAGTGCGGCAGCTGCTGCCCCTCCCCAAACAGACGCGCGATGTCATCACCTGCGAGCCCCAGGGGTCGCTCATCGATACCAAGGGCAACAAGATCGCAGGCTTCGAGAAAGAGGTAAAGACGCTTTGTTCCTTCAGTCTTTATTCTGGTTTCAGATCTTGTTCTTTACTTCTGCTATTCAGACCCCTTCTCAGGTCATTGTCCTATATATAATTATTATTATTTTAATGCTTCAAAATAATTTGGCCTTGGTTGAGACTATTGCTTTATGTTTGTAAAACCAGAAGGAATCCTTATTTAAAAAAAAAATTCTGATATGTGGAGTTCCATCATTAAGAAGTATACTGTGCCAATTATTAATAGTAATTAATTATTTCACAGTAATACAAGTCAGAGTATTTACTTGGGAAACCACCTCTCTGCAGGGCTTGCAAGTGTCAACAAAGCAAAAGATCTCCCCCTGGGACGTGTTTGAGGGCCTGAAGCACTCCGCCCCCCTGTCCTGGGGCTGGTTTGGGACGGTACGCGTGGACCGCAAAGTCACGAAGTTCGAGGAGCAGCAGCGGCTCCTCCTCTACCACACCCACCTGAAGCCCAAACCCCGTAGCTACTACCTGGAGCCCCTGCCCCTGCCCCCCGAGGAGGAGGAGCCGCCCACCCCCGTCGCCCCTGAGCCCGAGAAGAAACTGGCGGAGGCCGTGAAGCCGGAGAAGAGCTCAGCCGCCGTCGCCACGGACTCCAGCAAGAAGAAGAGCAGCAAGAAGAAACGCAACCACTCCAGCAGCAAGACAGAGGTGAGCCAGGAGGGCGGATAATGCTGTGAGCTCTCGGAGCGTCGGTCCTTCACAGATAAGCGCAGGGCTCTGTCACGCCAAGGCCTTTTTAAGTACCTTGCTAAAGAACAACGGCTAAGCTCAGAGAAAGCTTCTGGAGTAACAGACTTGTGAAAATAATGCCTGCCACTCTTAAGATTATTTAGCATTTAGCTGCAGGGACAGAGTGCTGCGTGATGGATAGATCCCTTAGCCACTGGGGTGGCTGAGACTTGCTAATGTCTTCTGTATCTGAAAAACGCATGAATTGGAATATATAGATATGTGTGTGTGGTGATAAAATGAGAATGCACCGTGTGCTTTAAATGACAGTTAGTGAGCTTACGAGTAAGGTGGCCTGGCAGTGAGGGTTTTGTCTTTTCCGGCCGGCCCAGGACTTTGCCAGCACACAGCGGGGAGTGCCCTATACAGCGGGAATGCCTCCGGAGATGCTGCACGGTCAGCAGGGACACCCTTTCAACCGGATGGTGTACGGGCCGCAGTCCATGGGCATGTACCCGCAGAACCAGCCCCTGCCCCCAGGTAAGTGTGCACCAGGCGGCGCGCTTGTGCTTCTGCGGGGGTCTGGCTTCCATAAGGAGATACGCCCCTGTCATGATCAGATTTTCTGAGTTTTCTATAAAAAAAAACATTTTTTTGTGTTTTTAGTATACCCCTGCATGAGAGATGATCTGGTCAAGTTTAATGATTGTAATTTCTCTCACTATGAAGTGTACACGTAAATTAATGTGCGCAGAAGGCCTTGAGGGATGACCTCCTGTGTTTGTTTATTACTTCTAGCTCACAATTATCTCCGAGCCCGAGCTCCAGAAGCTCTGCTACACACCTCCTTTATCAGGAGATTAAAACAGTGTCCTGGAAAATGTTAGCAGAGTTCAAGAGATGCATGAATCATAGTCTGGAGGCTTGTGGAAGGGGCTTGTTTGCAATATGCGCTGACTGCATGGAGTAGGAGTGGGCAGGGGTGGTAGTCTCCTGGGATGTTGGAGCCTGTTTTGAACATTATATACCGTGTAGGGCAATGCAGCACCATCCTGTCTGCTGTCTGAGTGTGCTTTGTAAATTCTTCAAGAGGCGCCTAAGAGATTTGAGGCTGGAATGGTTGTCATTGTAGGTGAAGAGGGAAAACCAGTTGGCAGCAAAGATCTTTTGACAGAAAAAATCCAAGAAGAAAACTGACTTGTACATAGTGTATAATAAGAAAATATTTGGAGGATGAGACTTGTTTCCATAGGTTTTATGTTGAATGATTAAAATTCAGTTGAGCTCTGTAATATTTGGAAATACAGAACTTTTGATTGATTTTTTTATATTTAGTAAATTTACAGAGTAGTCTGCAATACCTGTCTCAACAATCCCGGGGCCATATTCAAAAACATTTTTTCTATCATAATGAGAACTAAGCACAGGCTAAATCGTTTCTGGAAATTCAAATCAGTTAAAAATCAAATTTAAAAAATGGCTTTTTTTCAAGTTCTATTGCTAGTAAAACCTGAATTATAACCGTATGATCATTCTTCGCTCATTCTTCCACCTGCAACAGCTCCACAGATGTGCTAAGAGATTGTCATTGTGTAGCGTACTTTGATAAATGTTCTTTTGCTGTCATATCCTTGCTGTTGCTTTAAAATGTAGGGGTGGTAAAAGCAATTTAAGGAGTCTGTCTCCCAGAGGAGCAGTAGGACAGGTTGGATATTCAGAGTGCAGGATTTGTTAAATCAGACTGTTGCTTTGGTTATATGGTTATATGTGGGAGCCATCTGCTTAATTTTAGAGTACATATTTTTCAGATCTCACAAGCCCCCAGAGAAAACTTTAGCAGACTTGGTATGAGGTCTATTTGTGCCTGTGGATATGTTACATCACAATCTTGCAGTCGTGCCGTATGTGTTTACCATTAATCAGTGATCTGTAATTGGGTGCTGAAGATGCAATGTCTGTGCGTATTCCTGCCTCTGTGGCTCCCGGTGTTTCTGGTGCACAGTTCCTGCACTGAAATCCGTCTCTGCCTCAGGCGGCCCACGACTGGACACAACGTATCGGCCGACCCGCACCCTCCCAATGCGACCAAACCGGCCTGCCGCCTACCCGAACATGATGACCGGCATGCCGGGGGGTGTGGGCAACCTCATCACTGCGCTGGACCAGCAGGCCTACCGAGCCTACAAGCCCCAGCCACCCATACAGGGGCAGATCCTGCGCCAGCAGCTGCAGGCCAAGCTGGTGAGAGACTCGGCTGTTCTCGCTGAAAGGGCCCTTCAGCCTGAGGCTGTCGCAAGCCTGCTGACTCGCAGCACTGTGAAAACTGCTGAAATCTAGGAATTGTGGCACTTGGGATTGGGATTGAGTTGCATGGAAAACTAGTAAAGACGGGAAAGGCAGCTAAACCACCTGCCTGACCAGGGGTAGATCTGTGTCTGAAGTTTCTCTCCCCTCTGTTTCCTCCACCAGAGTCAGGGCATGCTGGGGCAGCAAGTGAGACAGATGCCTCCCAATCCTTCCTACGGGACCTTGCAGCCCACACAGGTACCTCCACCTCAGGTTTGGGTCTGCTCGTGAGATTAGTTTTTTTTTTCCCCCCTGCTTTGTGTAATGTGTGTTCTTGTTCCTGAACGTTGAACTAGGGGTATACCTCGTATGGCCCGCACATGGGGATGCAGCAGCACCCCTCCCAGACCGGCGGAATGGTTCCTCCTGCGTACGCTAACCAGCCCTTCCAGGGTTCGCACCCGGCCCCCAACCCTGCCATGGTGGACTCTCTCAGGCAGATGCAGCAGAGGCCGAGCGGATACATCCATCAGCAGGCGCCCGGCTACGTGCATGCCATGCAGAACACCCCGCGGTGAGCAGAGGGCAGAGGGCCGCTGTGACAGTGTTGGAAATCTGGGGGTTTCCCTTTAACCCTGAGAGAAGACCAATTCATGATGTGTGAGAAGACAGTGGCAGCTGTTTGTTTTGGAAGGCATTATGCAATAGGTTTCTGATGCATTTGTAACATTATGAAACAAATTACATCTAGCCAAGTGTTCCAGTCCAGGACAGGAAAAATAGAAGCTACAGAGTTTGCATGATTAAATACACAATGCTGTATGAATGTCCAGGCAATTATTTCTGTGGGGGGGAGTTGGAAGACTGATTCATCGTGATGGTCTTTACCATTGTATGGCTTTTGATTGTCTGCAGGTTTGCCCACCAGCAGGCTTCTATAATACAGGGCCTGAGTCACATGCCTGGCCAGGGTGTGCATCCAGGCATGAGATCAAATCAGATGCTGGCTGAACAGCAACAGCAGGCACAGCAGCAGCAACAGCAGCAGCAGCAGCAGCAACAGCAGCAACAGGCACAGCAACAGCAGCAGCAAGCGCAGCACTTCTTGAGACAGCAACAAGCTCTGAGGGTAGGCATTCATTCCCTTTTTGGGCTCTCTGGACATCAAGCTTGTCTGTTATTACACTGGAGGGCAGGGGCTCACGTCACAGTAATGCTCCTCTGCCTTTATCAAACACCGTTTGATCAGATGTCGTTTTGCATAATATAGTTGTATTCTTAATCACATCTGTAATATCTTGAACTGTCTTAATCAGTTGTGTCTGATCTCGCGTGGTTTGTGTGGTTCCTCCCCATGTGGATGCAGCAGCAGCAGCAGGTCCAACAGCAGCAGCAGCAGGTCCAGCAGCAACAGGTCCAGCAGCAGCAAGTCCAGCAGCAACAGGTCCAGCAGCAGCAAGTCCAGCAACAGCAGCAGGTGTCTGCTGCCCAGCCACCGGCGCAGGCCCAGCCACAGGCCTTGGGAATGCAGCCCCTGCCCCCTCAGCAGCCCATGGTAAGGCATGGTGCACCTCCCTGCCTGTACGTGCTCAGTGTGCCAGAATGAGGAGTGACAGAGTCAGGCTTATTGGAAGGGCTGTCACTATTACCTTGTTTAAGAGCATGAGCTCATGGGGAATGTTGCAAATGTCCTGAGGTCATTTCACCCTTCTGAATCATTTGGTCGCTTGTGGATTACTGACCCAAGGATCTCGTCCAGACTGGCCTTGAAAGGTCTCTGCCTTGCTTGGGCACATGGTTGGGCGGGTAGTTCCATCCTCTCACAGACCTTGGCGTAAAGTCCTCTGTTCTCACTTCTACATGCACTTTCTGCCTTTTCAGTTTAACAGAGATGGCTACACAGAGCTAGACTATTAGTAAGAACAGATCTGACAAATTCAAGTAACATGGGCTTGAACGTTTTAAGTTTGAAGAGCCTAGTAAAGTTAATTTTAAGTTACTTTTGAAATCGATAATTCACTGCTCATATGCCATTTACTTAATCTTCCTAATTATTATGGGATTTCACTCAGCTTTCAAATTTTTTGTAGTTATTCCAGCAAGTTCAAGGTGGAACAAACGTATCACATGCCATGCCATGTTTCTCTGAACACAATGTAATCAAATCAGAACGAATGCCTGTTTAATGATTCATTTGCCTATAGTTAAAAAACAAGTGAGTGGCTCTACCCAGAATAAGAGATGTATGTTCTTTTGCTTGCAGTGTCTTGTTTTATGTGGAGAGTGCTCTTTCTCGGGCATCTTTCATTGTGCAAAGAAATGTGGTCTCAACATGTTTGCTCTGCAGAAATTATATATTTACTTTCTTTATGTGAGCCTGCAAAAACTCAGCAACAGGAAGGTCAAAAGCAGAAACTTCCATTTCACCTCTGTTATGAGGAAAAGTTTTCCTAGCGTCTCTGTATGTTCTTATCAGTTTTAGTTCAGTCATGTTATTCTGTCTGAGCTTATAGCCTGTTAGTTAGCCTGAGTTTGGCCCTGGTCTGTTTTAGTCATTATCCCCCTTCCTGGGGTTCAAAGTGAGGCTTGGGAGTCCTGTCATCCAGAGGAACTGGAAGAATTGATGTTTTTTATAACTTCTAAAGGTCTGCCAATGACTGGTAGTAAGAAAAGCTAGCTTGCCTGAACAAATAACGATTAAATGCATTATTGATTTTAGGAAGATTAAAATCAATGATTACGCTGCTTGTTGGCTTTGTTCTCCCACATTCTGAGAAGATACTGTCGGCATTCAGCATCTAATCTTCGTATGTTCATACATACAGCTTGTCGACATGCAAATGTAACTACAAGAGCTCTGCAGCTCAACTCAGTTGGAGAAAACATATTTGTAAATATGTGCTTTATGTTTTGAAGTAGATGCATTTCTCCTTTTGAAATCCTCTTAGGTTCTGCTGTAAACATGTTTTAGAAAAGTTTCATGCAAAGATGTTTTTTTGAAAGAAGCCTTGGGGTACTCTTTATTTCCTGTGTACGGCATTTGCTATTCTGTCCTGTACTGTAATCTCATAGTCTCATTGCAGTAATTAAAGTTCCTGTTCAGACTGGGGAGACCAATGGCATTTTAATATTAACACTTAATATTAAGTGGGCAGAAGCGTTGCTTTGGCTGTATGTGACCAGCCTTAGTGTCTTTCTCTCAGTGGTACTAACTCCCAAACAGTCTGATGTTTGTTTGAAACATTTATGTTCTTATGCACACTCCTCCTGACCTTGAAACTGTGGAAGCTTCAGACAGCTCCTGAATGGGTTTATCCGGAGCGACGGCTCTCCCAGCCAGCTTGTGTGACGCAGTGTTCCTCTGTATTTCCTCAGTTCCCCCGACAGGGAATGCAGCAGACACAGCAGCAGCAGCAGACGGCGGCCCTGGTCAGACAGCTCCAGCAACAGCTCTCAAGTAAGGACCAGCCTGCCCTTCTCCTTTGGCACTGCACACCATCTTTGCATAGTAGTGATGTAGAATTTTAAGTTGCCAATTATTTTAACATGACCCCACCACTCTAGTCTTGAACAACCACCACTACAGTTCTTGTTCCAGAGTTAGCATCCTTTTGTAGGAATGATGCATCTCTCCCTGACGAGACAGCAGTTTCTGAGCCCCACATGTAGCAGGAGTCCAGCAGCATTTTGCAGTTAAGATGATGGGGTCTGTCTGGATTAGAGGGCTCAAACTGCACCCACATTCACTGGTTGAGCCAGTGCTGTTTTCAGCAATATAAAATAGCAGTGCACTTATTCATTGCTAGTACCATTGGGGAAAAAACTGATACATCTGAATTTAATAAATATGATTAATGTTTTCAACAAAATTAATTTTATGCCATAATTCATTCAGTCTTTTTTCCCCCGTTTCACAGATACTCAGCCTCAACAAAATACCAATTCATTCTACTGAACTTGGGTGTAGTTTACTGTGCAGAAAAAATGGATTGCCTCAATGTCTGCACCTCCCCAGCTAAGAGAGGAATGACAAAGGTATTATCACTGCTGCAGGGTACTTTAGTGCACAACACTCAAACCGTTCCTCTGCCTTAAGCCTGCTACGTCAACCAGCTGCGCTGAGAAAAGGAGAGAATAGGGCTGGAGAAGAGGAGATTATTAATTTCACTGACTTGGGCAACTCCTGCCCCTTTACAATCTTGGAAACACAAAAAAAGACAAAAACCATGAATATTGACGGACTCTAGAGACTCCACTTGAAAAATTGTGAAATTCCTTTCCCCAGAGTGGGATCCTGCTGGGAAGAGTGCTCAGTAGAGCTCATGGAGAACTTGGAAGTTGTGTAAAAAAAAAAGTACAAGAAATTATAAGAATAATGTAATTTTTTATTTTATTTCAATTTGTACAATTTCTTTCTTGGTTTTGTTTATTTCTCATTAAAAAATCATGTCAGTTTTTATCAGTCTTTTGACAAGTCTTTAAGTCTAGTGTGCTCGTACATCAGAGTGTCCCTTTAGACTTACCAGAGGAGCAGATAGGAGGAAGGGGTGCAATTGTTTTGATTAAAAAAAGTGTATAAATGTGTACATACAATGTTTTATTTGTGCTTCAACACTCTAATATCAATACTGAGACAAGTTTAGAAGAGACTCCTGAAGTCATGTTTTGGAACTGTTTTTACAGTCAACATATAGGCATTTGTTACAGACCTAATGGATTAAAGACCTGCAGGGTTTTCCTGTTTTATAATAAGGACTTTATAACCTGGTATTATTTTTCTGGGGGAAGTGGTAAATCATGAATTGAAAGAAAGAGGTGGATATTTACACTGGCCCCAGGTTAGAAAGCGCATGCTGAGAAGAGACTGGGGTGGTGAACCTGAGCTTCTTTTTCTTTTTCACAAAATGTGGGAATACGATCTGTGAATTAAGGTTAGGCTTAACACAACTGTGATAAAAATCCTTTTCAGTTTCTTTCTCAAATGGTACAACACACATTGGTATTGATAGCATAAACTCACTTTTTATAATTTGGATAAAACATACGATTGAGATTTTTAGTTACTCCCAAGCAACATTTCCAACCTCCTCTGGGTACAGAATTGGATCTATAAAGCCAAATTTAGGATAAAATAAGAACAAGAAGACTGTTTTTCATCTTGCTTTCCAAGTATCCCAAATACCACTGACTCACTGGTCGCTTTGAGGCTGTTGATTCAGGTGGAAGTTTGAAGACGTTCTGTGAAGCTAAAAGACCATTCTGTATGATTGATTGAGCACTAATTAAGTTTAATTTTTGTGTGTATGATGATGCCACATAAAGTGGATTTTCAGTGTTTTGATGTTAGCTGTTTTCAGCCTTTAACTGAATTATAATTTAAAACTGTTCTAGTATCTAGTCGCTTTGACAAACAAAGCCTCTGCAATGAGCACTCCACCTTTAAACTCACCTGTCAGTTATTAATCTAGGTGGTATAATTAAAAATCTTAAAAAGGAAAACAAATCGGGTACAGACAAGTTAAATAAGGATGCCTGTACAGCAATCTTCCAGTTCATGGCAACCTGCCTTTTACTGGAGCACTTTGCTTACATTTAGTTTTCTTTACTTGCAGGAGTTTTCCCTGTGTACAAAAGTCACATGTTGGGGTTTTGAGGGCTTATTGAAATAATACTGATCTTGCTTCCTCCATGGGTTTCAGATTACCTTCCAGATCCAGATACAGGGGCTGCTGTGCCCGTGTAGGTTAGTCGGCAGGATAAAGCCTCCTGGAAAAGCTAAATGCTTAGCTGATACTTTATAGCTTTTAACCTTTGGGCGTTTTTTCTGTATTAGTTATCTGTGCTTTTGATTTGGCTGTCATGGGGTTTCCCGGGTTCTGATGTATCACCCTTCAGTGGTATGCCTTTAAATCCCAGCAGTAATTCTTTATAAGAATATCTTTTATTTGAAAATAGGATACTTATTATCTCATCTTTGTTTCTTTGTTTTCTGAAAATAATAAAGGTTTTCTATTTCAATAAACAGGTAAGAGCTAGGGAAATGTGCACAAGATCAGCGTGACCCCGCATTCAGCCAATGAAAAGAACAAAGCTGTGTAAGAAAATTGAAGTTCTGGTTGGTAAAGACCTACAGTCTTCATATCAAGTTATCCATTGACAGTGCAGGGAGTGGTATAGAATAAATCCAGGACAGCTAAAGTCTCAAAGAGAATAACAGTAAGAAATGAAAGGTGTTTTGACACAGCAGGGTTCTCGGTTCCCTTTGCGTTTGGTCTTATGGTGGCTGTTCCACCCGAGCTCTCATACCTCAGTATTTTTGGTAACAGCATTATCATGATACTTCTTTGAGATTTTTTCTTTGTTAACTGACTCTAACGAAAACGTTTTAGTAGTCAAGGGTAGGAAAAAAAAACGTTAATTGTTGACTGGAACAAAATCTGCAGGAAACGAGGTGTGCCGGGAACGGTCTTTGAGACCACTGCTCTCCAGAGTGCCACACACATCAGCAGCACGGAATGCACCCTGTTGAAATCTCTTGACTGCAGCCAGAAGGTGGCTTTGATGTTGTGCAGCAGACTTGCACAAAGGAAAGCCTCGTCTACACACAGCCTTCTTCAGCACTACTCCTCCTCGTCATGGCTGGATGAAATCCTTGGATTCTCATTCCACCTGAGCCCTTACTTAATTCAGTCAATTATGGAAATAATTGGTATTAAATTACCATTTGCCAAGTCTTTTGAAGTTTTTAGGATGGCTCTGAAATTCTACTAAATTCTCCAGGTGAAAAAAGTGGTACGTTATCCAGGATGGTTTAGTATTCATTTTCAAATAGCAGGGGTGTGTAGCACTGAAGAAAACTGCACTGTTAAATCCAATTCCTCTGAGATAGGTTGAGATTTTTAAAAATATTTTTAGAAAGAATAGCTTGTTATAAACATCCAACATAAATACTGTTTTCAAATAGTACAAAGCATACAATGTATTTTAATATGTACATACCAGTATTTATATAAATAAACATTGCATCTGTTAAGGGTGGTACAAGCACATAACATCACTGCTGCCTCACAGCTTGAGGCCCCTGGGTTTGTTTCTTGGCTGGAGCACCATCTGTTTAGAGTTTGCATGCTCTTCTTTACCTCTACAACCCAAAGAGATGCTGGTTGGGCTTGTCAGTATCTCTCACTTGGCCTTGTGTGGGTCTGGAATGGTGGCCCAGTGCACAATGTAGTCCTGTGTAGTGCCCTGTACTGCCACAGTCATTCACAAAGCACTCTGATCTTTTTCAGAAATAAACAGTTTTCTGATAATGGGCAGACAGACAAATGAACCTGTTCATTAAACCAGTTCGTCATTTAGAAGCCATAGAGGTATGGATATAGTCATTTTTTAAATTGCAATATTGTGTTTTCCCCCAGTGCATCTTGGCACCATACACCAATATAGCTTTCAGGAAATAAAAGGTTCACAGAATGTTCGTTGCATGAATTCTGTTAGCTACTTGTGTTGCCCAGACCCGAGACTTGATGACAGGCTTCATGTATTATATAGGGGGTTTTATATTTTTGCACTTGTAGGGGGATAAAGTTTCAGCCTGAGAAAAAAAAGGATTGTGTCAGTTGAGTTGAGATAGTTGGGCATCTTTGTGGTACTTCTTTGCAACTATTCATAGCACCTGAAGGTATGTTGGTTTAAAATCCATCCCCAGAGCATTTCTTGCATTGCATTTGTAAATCCCTGAGTTCATTAACATTGGGTTTTGTATTATAAGGCTGCCTTCAGCTGTCATGTGAATGCCACCTTGCAAGCTGAACCTGCTGCTAGGAACAAGGGTAGTGCGCCCTGGCAGAGTCCAGGAGATGTCTGGTTTGGGTATCCCAGCAGCTACACAGCTGAGCTTGACTGGGGATCCTCTGTTAACTCTTGTGATGGATGGTGGTGAACTGGTTATATGTGGGGGATACACCATCACCACAACAGGGATTGACAAAGCTGCAGAGCCAAATGCATTTGTGGCTTTGCAGACATAGGTGCCTCTGTCAAATGTTGCCGTGTCTCGAAGATGAAGTGTACTGTTTATTAAATATGTCATCCTTCCATTGACCTGAGGCTTGTCCAGAACCACACCATTGGGCAGAGTCCAGGAAATGGTTGGCTGGGGCCAGCCATCAACAGGACAGCGGAGATTCATACTCTGTCCAAATGAAATCTTGAACACTCCTGATATTCCTCGGATCTGGGGCTTTCTTCCCAGTTCTAAAACATACCTCTTCTCAGACTGTCCAGCCATGTTTCTTGCTAAGCAGCGATAAACCCCTGAATCAGTAGGGGCCGGATGCACTATGCGTAGAGTCCCGTTGCCTGGATAGTGGAGGAAGCGTGAGAGTCTTGTGCCAGGAGCCAGAATGGTGCTGTTGGGCAGCGCCCATGTGAGCTCTGGGGCTGGTCTGCCTTGCGCAGGACATTCCATGGTAACGTCGCTGCCGTCTGGTTTGAGGATTACCGCTTCGGTGTGAGGCCCAGGGAAGCTGGGCCTTTCTGCAGTAGGTGCCACATCGAGCTCTACCTCCAGCCTTGCCTCTCCTAAGTCGCTGCGTGCCAGACAGACAAACTGACCAGAATCAGATCTCCTAAGGCCTCGCAGCTCTAGGCTTCCATTTCTGTGGACTTGAAACCTGCCACCCAGGTAAGGTGTAGGCAGTGTGATGCCATAGGACGTTGTCCAGCTGACCAGGGGCTCTGGCATGCCATCTGCCTTGCAGTCCAGCATCTTCGTCTGGTAAGACACTGCTGACACCCTTAAATTAGTGCTCCCCTTCCGTCCGTTAATCTGGGGTTCTTCGCCCTCGACCTCCAACTTCACATTTTTTATGTCATCCCCAGCAGTGTTCCTGGCCACGCAAGCGTATGTCCCCCGGTCCCCCATGCCCACCTTCCTGATTACCAGGGTACCGTCTCCCAGGATCTGGTACCTGCCTGAAGAAGCTGTAATGATTTCATTGCGTGGGGACAGCCATATGATTGCGGGGGAAGGTTCCCCAGTGGCTTCGCACTTCATGTGCACAGGCTCACCAGGCTTGCCCCAGAGGGAAACCTGCTCCTTGGATAGGATCCTGGGAGACTCTGGGACCACCCTGACTCTTACCTTCATCTCGTCCTTCCCCAGCCTATTCTCTGCATAGCATGTGTAATCCCCCTCGTCCCTCATCTCCATCTGCTGGAGCAGGAGGGTCCCGTTGCCAAATATGACATAGCGACGAGATCGGGCCCCGCTGTCATCGGACTGGAGAGCATTGCTGATCACGGTGCCATCCGGCAGGCTCCATGTGACCTCGGGATCTGGAAGCCCCGACGCGACACAGTCCACTCGGAAGTTTTCCCCATAGCCGACTTTCTTGTGGACAGTGCCCCTGTGCTTGATCTTCGGTGGCTTCATAAGGACCTCCAGCTGGAAGAGCTCGAGGTCGTCCCCATTGGGTCTCCGGTACATGCAGAGGTAATCTCCGCCGTCCTGTTCGGTCAGCAGCTGGATCCGGAGCGTCCCATTAGGGAATGCGGAAACATGTCTGAGGGGGCTGGAGTAGACAAAAAACAAAGTGTCCCTCTTAATGAAGAGCTCCATTTCTCTACTTACATTGCTACACAAACACAAGAATTACATGAAATGTAGCTTTATGGAAAACTGGCTAATTTATAAAAATGTTTCCATTTATAAATCAATTCTCAGAAATTTGCTTATTACTAGCAAAGGTCATGTCAAGCCCAGAGCCTATCCCAAAGTGAAGGAGTGCAAGATAGACCAATATCAGGATGGGGAGCCTAGACTACACAATTAATATACTGAGAAAAAGAAACATAAGGTCAAAACCCACCCAAATTTCCCATTAAGGCACTTTATGATGGTATGAAAAGAAACATCTAATCAATTCTAATCTTTCTATCACAGCAACAGCCTTTCTTTACAACTCCTCTCTTTTTAACTACATAAAATACACATCCTAATAAAACTCCCAGGATGCTCTTTAGAGAATCCATTAGATCATGCTGTCTAGTTATTGGCTTATGTGTAAATTATATGTGGTCAATCAATTACAAATACGACCACAGTCAGTAAGGTACCTGCTTAGCCTGGATAACATTTTGGTTACAAGACTGCAGTGACAGTAAACTTTCTATTAATGTAACCAGGTTGTTGCATTTAAGTGACAGCAACTCCTGGCATAATGAATAAAAAGTATCAGTATGAGTGTGAATCCTGGGACATAATCACAGATAAAAGTCCCTTGGCTGGTTGACATAATTGACAAAGTTCAACTTTGCCAGCGCTGAACAAAACTTCTGCTGTTATTACAGAAAAGTTTGATGTCAACTTTACTTTTGTCTCCTTCTGAATTATGCAAACCTCAAATGAGGAGGACAGCGTAGGTGTGATTGGATTTGGGAGACTGACCTAGTTTCAGATGTGTCGCCCACAGCTCCAAAGGGCCTGTTGTTAATAGAATAATTGATAGCACTTGATGAGCAGCAGGCTGGGGCTGACCCTGAGGTTGTTTTCAATCACATTATCTGATTAGCAGTAGGAACCGTCACTTCTCCTGAACCTCTTGACCACAGACTGTTTGACCTTCGTCAGGCTCCGTCAGGTCTTTTTTCTGCATTAATTACACTAATTGCCTTTAATTAGGCCTCTCCGAAACTCACTAGTCCATCAAAGTGTCTGCTATAAAGGAGGAAAGACTTTGACAAGAAATGAATCACTCAGAAGCCAAGGCAAGGAAATTAAGTGGCATGGATTTTTCTTCTATTAACCCTTTGCTTATTAGTGAAATGTTAATCGGGAAACCACTCGAATTTACTTCCACTTCAGTTTTCTGTTTTTTGTTTTTTAGGTAAAGGATACAGCATCTTTCTATTAGGATGTCTTGAGTGCTCTATTGTAGGCTGATAGGGACAGCTCTTTTCTTGGGATTTTAGTTGGTGGACTTTTCTTACCTAGGTTTGCTGAGCTTGACTGTGATTGATTGTTTTACGAGGTAAAACTGCATCATCAGCTGTTGATCTCTTCTGTTTCAGCCCCTGTTGGCCAGCAGCTGTGCCGAACACAGGGTGGGAATCTTACCTGTGGCGGTGGTCCACCAGGGTCTTGGCAGGGAGTCTCCAGAGGGCCCCAGGCTGTGTGCTGGCAGACTCTGGGCAGTGCAGGTACACTGTGGAGCCGTAGGTGGCTGCCACTTTGTGCTGCTGGGAAGGGGCATGCCTGAGGCTGCCGGCCTCCTTGACAACCAGTTGCACCACTCTGCTGGTGGTCCCCACAGTGTTGGCGGCCGAGCACTCGTACTTCCCGGCCTCAGCCGGCGAAACGTTCTTCACGTACAGTGTCCCATTGGGGAAGACAAAGAGCCTGCCTCCCAGGAACTGTGAGGGCTTAATCTGCATGCCCCCTGGCGTTGTCCACTTGAGGCTGGGCTGGGGTTCCCCCCTGGCTGTGCAGTGGACATACACACTGCGCCCTATGGGGAGAACAACATTTTCGGAGGCCCCCTCGTAGATAGAGGGTGGTAATGCCACGACATGGAGGTGGTAGGTTACTGTGTCTGCACCAGCTGCATTGCTGGCGATGCACTTATAGTCTCCTTTACTGGAGAAGTTGGCCGCCTGGATCCTTAATGTGCCATTGAGGAGCAGCGTGACTCTAATGTCAACGAGGCCCACATTCCGCACAAACGTCCTGTCTGGCAGAATCCAGGAGATCTGGGCCTGAGGCTTCCCCGCTGCCATGCAGTCCAGGTTTGCAGAACGTCCCACATACACAGAAACCTCTGCAGATTTCGGAGGCAGAATTCTTGGCGGTTGGGTCAATACTGCAAGGGTAACAACCACCCTGTCTGACCCAAATGCGTTCTGTGCTGTGCAGAGATACTGGCCTCTGTCCTGCAGCTGAACATTCTTAATTACAAATGTGCCATTCTCTAAAACTTCAAACCTCTGGCCATGCCTTGTGTTGGCTTGAATAGTAGCACCTGTTACAAAAAGAAAAATGAATCAGTACAGCTGTGGAAGTAGTAATTAGTCAGTGTCCCCTTAGCAAGGTCAGCAAGTCAAAGATCAATGGGTTAGATAAAGGCAACACAGAGACCCCCCTCTAGGGCATCTCTTCTCCCTGTGTCGCTACAGGAATCATTAGTAACAGAGAGCAACTCTTGTGCTTAATCCAACCTTCACACAGTGCATGCAAGTTACATCCTGGTATAATTCAGGTTAACCCTTAGCAGCACCTTCCTCATTTGAAGGAAGAGTAAGTTATCTTAAAAAACTATAATTTACTTCACATTTAGAATAAGCCAACTGAAGTGGTAGCCTTTGCATTCTAATTGAATGCTTTGTGAGTCTGTCAGAACATGTACTGGAAGAAATGTGAGGAAAACAGAGCTAAGGGAAACATTAGTCACCAGTTAAAGAAACGCACTACAATTAACTTCAAGTGCTAGCGAAAACTACATTAGAATAACAATGTGAATATATTGTAATTGAAGTTAAAAACTTCAACAAAAAAAGAAAAGTAAAGGATGAAGATAAATTAACATACTGATGGTGTTTTCGATGATGACTTGCATAAAATGCCTCAGGCTGAGCAAAGGCAATGTTATTAGCATAGAAGGTGTGTTACAAGTTTAAGAAAAGCTTAACATCATAAAATCTCCAGGGACTGATGGTATTCTGCTAATTGTACTTAAGGAAATAAGAGATGTTATTCACAGCCCATTAGCAAATCTCTCTAGCAGTCACTCATGACAGCAGTAATGACCATTGACTGGAAGATTGTGAAAGTATCACCCAACCATAAAAAGGGTGACAAAACTAAACCAAGTAATTATAGACCAACATGTCTTACTTTCATTGAAAGCAAGGTTACAGAAACAACATTGAAAACTAGAGGATCTTCTGTATAGCAATAGGATTTTTGTAATTAGTCGACAAGGATTAAGGAAATGTGAATTCTGCTTAATTAAATGAGTTAATGAGTAACATTAGTGGTGCATAAAACAGTGTATATTACAGTATTTCAGAAAAAGTTAGATAAAGCTCCTCATGAAAGATGAATTATTAATGTCTGTGTTGGTTTTGTCTTATAGACAATAGGGAAGCATTAAAAAGTAAAAAAGAATATCATGATATATACTGTAGTTAAATGGGTATAATTTTAGATTTTATCCTAAAATTGCACTGTGCCTAGACTTAGACTATTGTGCCCTATTTTGGCTTCATGTTACAAAAATATATTATTGCTCTTGAATTAGTCCAGGGAAGAGCAATCAGGTTTTTCTCCTGAGCTCACAGGAAAAGCCCTGCATTGGGAGGGTCTTATTTTAACCACAAGACAAACAAGTATCAGAAACTTAAGACTCTTTTTATCTTCTCTTTAGCCATAATCCTGAAACTGATACTCTGGCTTTTTTCAGGAAAAGAGGAAATCCTTGGATCATTTAGCTACTGTCCAGCAACAGGCCAGATGAGCTGAATGGTCTCTTCCTCTTTCTCTTTTTGTGTTCACTGTATCAGTCATGTTATACCAGAAGCACTGTAACAGTTTACATAGCTTTTTTATTGCAAAGGGTTTTTGTTTTGTGTGTTTGAAAGATTAAAATAATATTATTTTCTTGAGAAAGCAATTAAGTCTGCCAGATAGTGTAAATAATATTCATCTGTTAATAAGTGGGTTTTAAATTAAATTTTAACTTCTGCAATTATTTCATGCCGTATGTCATGGGCAGAGCAGAAAGCAAATACCACCAGCTCCTCTACTTTGCTGTTCTGAGTCATACAGTGAAATCAAGAGAATTGGCAGTTGAACTGTCATAGTGAAATGTTTTTCATCCGGGAAGGATTTTTAAAAATATGACACAGTGTTGTAACAGTCTGACTGTGCTGCCTACCTGTGGAGACTTTGGTCCAGGACACTGAGGGTTTGGGGTCGCCTGAGGACTCGCAGGGCAAGAACACATCTTCCTCCGCCAGGACAGATAAGCTGACTAAGTTCACAGACGCGATTCTTGGCTTCACCCCGCTGCCCATCAGGTTGGGAAACGGCAGGGCTGTGCTTAATTTCCTAGGAGCCCCATGGTTATAATGCCACCGGCTGCCAAATAGAACGCTTGCAGTGGAGGAAGGCTTGTTAGTGGGTGACAGCAGGGATGGGGAAGCTGGCGTGATGGGGCTGTGGCTTTTTGATGAGGTGGGAGCCTGATGAGGCCGCGAGGTGAGAGCTGTGACCTTCGGAGGCTTGGTGGCACTTCGCCTCAGTTGTGAAAGAAAGCTGGGGTCAAGGTATGGGTGCCTATACCTGTCCCGCAGCTTGGACAGCAGCAGAAAGTCCCTGCTTCTGGTGCCCGAGTTGGTGACTTGTAGCTTGAAGGCTGGGTTAGTGGATGTGTTCTGCAGTGGGGAGGATGTTAGAGAGACAGAAAGTGTAGGCTTGGCAGTCAGTGCTGTGATTTCAGGACGGTTGGTAACCACAAAACCTCTGCCCCAGGGGTAATGGAAGGGCCAGGCCCGGTTAGGGAAGGGATAGTATTGCCATGGGCCATGAACTGGAGGCTTTCCTGGTGCCAGGTTACGGACTGGCCCAGAGAAGGTGGTGGTGGAAGGCCAGTGTGTAGGTGGTGCTTGAAACCTTTTCTGACTGTGTGGCTGAAGCAGCCAGGGGGTCTTGTCTTTGACCTTTGAAAGGCTCTCAGTTTGTCCTCTGAAGGAATTCCCTTTCCTTCTGATCGTCTGTGACAAGTCTTTGTGCGTGTTAGCTGGCTGGTTGAAGAATAGTCCTCTATTGTCACCCTTCTCATATGGCCCACTTGGACTCCTGGAATTTGAGCCTACGGTTTGCATCAGTGCCTTTTCAGGGGTGATTAACGGTGACTGGGTTATTGGAAAAAATGCATTCCACTTTGAAAGGCTGGGTTTGACCAAATGTGTTGCTTCTGTAGAGACTGTAGAGACCAAGGGGGATGAAGGACTCTGGGACAGGATGTGGTTGATCTTTGGTTTACTGAAAAGACTGTCAGTATGTGTAGTAGGTATAGTCTGCAGCAATATAAAACTTGGTGGGACTGTAGCCCTCCACTGCATGGTAGTCAGGGAATGTACACTCTCACTTGTGGTTGACTGTGGAACAGTTCTTTCAGCTGTTTCAAACATTAATCTCTGTAAATTTCGATTCTCGGAAGTCCAAGGTGTATTTTGTATATTAGGTTGGATACTTGTAAATTTGTGACCTAAAATGATTGTGGAGCTACTTATCTGTTCTGTAGATGTAGACATTGCTGGACTTCTTGTGAAAGCTGGTGTCATATTATAAGGTGATCCACTGTGTTCTGCAGCAGAGAGATATTTCTTGTACTCTACAGAGGATGGCATGGTCTTCATGGTTACAGGTAGTGGCTGGGTGGTTGTAACCATAGTGTAGTCCTTGTTAATATTGTAATGTACCGATGGGTTTGAATCAGTTGAATTTTCATTTTTGTCTGTGCTTTGAGTTGAGTTACTATATCTTGAAGTAGTAGTGTAGTCTCCCTTTTGATTTGCTGGAGTATAGTCCGTGTTGCCTGGTCTAAAGTTTAGTCTTGTAAAGGAAGGGAAAGAAGGATTTTGGGATGAACCATTCGGGCGAATTCTATGCTGTGGTCTCCTGCGTCTGTAAAGGGGTGTTCGCCCATGTGTTTCATCGGCTGTGGTCTTCTCAACTGCCTGGACTCTCGGCTTTGGTTTGGTAGGCTGTGCCACCTCTTGAGGATTAGGTTTTGCAAAGGGGTTTTTATCTGGATTTTTTGTAATGGATTCAGATAGTACCAAAAGTCTAATAGGAATACTTGATTTTTCTCTCTCAACATAAACATGTATAGGAGAATCCTGTGTTGGCTGTATTGGTTGTGTTGGTGTTGTTTGCAAGAGTTCCAGTTTGTTTTTTGCAGATTCTAATGTCTTTTCTGTATTCACTGATGGTACAGAAGTTGCTAAAAGCCATGAACCATCATCTCCTTCAGGAGTGGTTGTTGTTGTAGTGTCAGGGACTTTCCTATGAGCTTTAGCAAGTATCTGAGCCCAGCGTTTTGGATCCAGTTCCTTCACAGACAAGTTATTTCTCCTCTTACCCTCCCACACCTTCTTTGCCTTGCTGTTTCGGTTGGAATTTCCCCTAGAGCTTGCATGCTGTAAACGGGTCTTGTCCTGTACCCTAATAGGATCTGGCCCACTAATCTCAACCTCTAGACCACCTGATCCTTCCTCTTCCTCTACCTGTGTTGCCTGGTACCTCTTGTAAGAAATGCCACCTGTTGACTCTTTTCCAGTACCTCCAAGTCTAGGTGGAACTAAATCCACTTTCTCTTTGACTAAAACAAGATGTGAAAGCATGTCTGCTCCATAGAGGTTGCCGGCCAAACAGCTGTATTCTCCAGCATCCTCTTGTGATGCCTTTGTTATAACCAGGCTGCCGTTGGTGGACATGTAAACCCTCCCGCTTGGAGGAGAAGGGAGCAGGATGTGACTTGTGGGCAGGTACCAGGCGACTCTGCTGGGAGGGACGGAAGAGACAGAGCAAGGAAGTGTGAGTGAGTGTCCACTGTGCACTGACACCTGCTGCCCATTTAGACTATCTGGACTGAGCAGCTGCTCCCTCACTATTAGCCTGAAGGACACCAAATCCACTTCATCCTCAGTCCGTACAAGGCAGTGGTAAAGCCCAGAGTCAGAAACTACCGTGGGGCTTATAATTAGTTTGCCTTTATCTGAGGCCACCAGCCTAGTATGAGAACTGTTTGCTGTTGATAAATCTGGCAGCATCCACTCGAAGGTGGCTTCTCCAGAACTCTCTGCTTTACACACCAGAGTGGCTTTGGATCCCTCCAAAACTGTCTGCACCCTATCCACGTGCCCCCTGTGTATCAGCACCCAGGTCCTGTGCGGCCCCCAGCTAGTAATGTGGTCGGAGATGAAGGTGGAGTAGTTGAGTACAAGTTTCTTGGTAGTAGTCTTGTGTCTGTTTAGTTGCAGAGTTACCCTGGGCTGTAGCAGCCATTCTGGCTCAGCAAGCAAATGTCCCTTGAGTTCTGTGAAGTATGGTGAATCCTCATTAGAAACTTGAGAGTATTGAAAAGCTGTTCTGGAAGTGTTCTTTTGCTCAAGGCCTCTCTCCAGGATTGCTGGGCTCTCGTAGTAATAGGCGATAAGTCTCCAGAGTTTCTGGAGCTCATCCTTTTCAATCTCGCATTCCAATAAAGTTATCAGAGTCACATTGACCGCCACCTGCCCTGGCACACTCAGATTCTCCCAGACAAGAGATGTGCCTTCGCCTGGATGTTTCACAACACAGCCAACATGCGCCACATTCTCCTGGTTGTCTGACAGCATGAAAGTGAGCTGTCCAAGGGCTGGGTCAAAGTCCTGGACCACAGGGGACTCAGGCTCTGGGTCCTCCCAGCTGAAACTTTCCTTTAGCTTCATTGGTGACTGGAGTGCTGGTCTGTCACATAAGAGCTCTTCAGGAGAAAGCAGGAAGACTTGTGAGCTGTTCAGGTGCTGAGGTGTGGAGCAGAGAGAGCAGAGTTCGCTGCCTCCAGAGTCCCGTTCTTTCTTGCATTTAATCACCCCTGAGCAGAAACAAGTAAGAAAGCACAAGTGTTTTAGATTTTAACCCTGGAGGTTGTGTCATTTTGTTGGATTAGTTTTACAAGGCTGCACCCAAAACAAGTGATCTTGTTTTCTTATTTCATTTTCATTGAAAACCACTGATGCTTAGGTTTAGAAATGCATAGTACACCAAAAAAGGGCAGATGGCTACATGAGACACTTAGCTAGATATTATGCACTTCATTAGTAATTGCATACATTATGGTAATGTGTTTCTGATTTGTAGTCTGAAACTGAGAGTACATTAAATGAACTGGCAATGCTGCTTTGAGGGCATTAGATGGCATTATATCTGTATCTTAATAAAAGCCACTTGTTACTGGAAAATAATTAAAAAATAGAAAAGCAAACCTTAATTTAAATATAACTTGACTACATGCAGCAATTACACAAATGTAGAAAACCAACACTAATACGAATTGTAGAGTGAGTGCTATTAATTATTAGTATCTTCACAGAATACAAAAACTAGAGTTTCTAGGTTTCTATCAGACTCCTTTTAAAGATCATTAAGAATCATCGGCTCGTGATTTTTTTATTGCCATCAATTAGACCTCCTTTAAATAAAAAAAAACATTTTAAAGATAACAAAACAATATTTTCTGTTGGTAAATTTGAAAAAATATTTTCTATGCACATCTCTATATTTCGATTTTTAGTTCTGATCATGCTTTGGATTTTCTTGCTTTCACTGTGTTTTGCATTTACCCAAATCCTGAATGATGGTGAGGGCCCAGGGAGTAAGGCGAGGCTAAGACAGGAGGTTGTGATTCCCGCAGGCTCCAGTGCGACTGTGCTCTTTGGCTGTGTCACAGGTGTGAAAGACTAATGTGTCTGTAGCTCGTCTACAGAGATACAGAGGCCCTACCTTCTCTCTTCTTGTTCCACTCTAAGAGCCAGCGCATCTGGCAGTCACATGTCCAGGGGTTGCCATGGAGATAGAGCACCTCCAGTTTGTCCAGGTGCTGCAGAGTCCCAGGCAGGAGGGACTCAAGGCTGTTGTCTGCGAGGTAAAGGTGACGGAGGCTGGAACTCCAGAAACTCCCCAGGAAGGAGAGGGTCATGAAAGTGTGAGGGTGAACGTCCCTGAGCTGGTTCCCCTCCAGCTGCAGCAGCTTGAGTGCTGTCAGACCACTGAAGCTGAAAGGCTCGACAAACGCGATGGTGTTGTGGTCCAGGTAGAGGCGGACGAGGCCGGAGAGCCCTTGGAACATGCCAGGGCTGAGCCTTTTCAGTTTATTGTAGCTCAGCTTCAGGATCTGTCAACAAAGTACACAGACATTACGAACAGCTGGACATTACATGAAGGAAAAAATAACCAGAAGCTAATTGTCCCTTTTTATTAAAGTGAGAATTGTACTGAATGTTTACATTATACTGGGCTGGATCCAGAATTAAAACCACACAACATACAAGGCATCGTCTTCATGGCCTGTGTTGGAGAAATATCCAACATATTTGGATATTTCTGTCTCAGAAGTTAAAACATTTTTATTTCAGGTGCATGGGAGCAAAACTCACAGAGATGCTCCTACCAGCCTGATTCCCACTTCATGCTGCCATCCACAGGGCACATGTATCTACTGAAGGACAGTTGGGAACGCTGCGGTTCGAAAACAAGGCAAACTAAAGCTAAGCCAATTCGAGTCTGCCTTGCCCTAGCACTGCTCCGACTGTACTAGTCTGGCATACTGGCAATCTGATCTCCGAGCTCCAGAGCTGAAACTGTTTAATGCACTAAATATTTAGTACTACTTTTACAGCTTTCTCACATTACAGCACAGTGACCTTAGCTTTTCTGTGTCGTTTATGCTTGGACGAGGTCTTCATTTATTCAAGTGAGCAGAACCAAGATGGCAAATTAAATACCTGAAAGGGATAAAAGTGACAGAATGCTTTGGATATGAAAAGCCAAGGTTGCCCACTCTTGTTCTAAATTGAAGCAGCAATATCAGAGACTTCAAGGATAAATTAACCTCCCTTTCTTGTGAGCGCATGTGTGTTTCAGATAAAGATGAACACATTTAATTACAGCCCTCCCACACATATTCTGCTCTTGAGGCTGTGTACCTGCAGGGAATGGAGATCACTGAAGGCCCCTGGAGACACAGAGTCAATGCTGTTTCCATGAAGCATCAGCAACTCCAGGCGACTAAGGGCTGTGAACTCCAAGACGCCCACACCCTGGATATTGTTGTAGCTGGAGAGAGATGTTGGAGATTTGGAAACTTTTTTATGTTCAAATCTGCACACAAAAAAGGAATACAGGCTAATACTTGTTGATATGCATTATTCCTACTGCATTAAAATTAAAATTGGTCCGTCTATTTCAATTGAAGAAGTGTATATTGGAACACAAATCAGCTTTTAACAGTAAAACAAATTGCTTTTAAATTTTAACAAAACATGCAGTTTTATTTCTAATTGTTATTTTTTAAATTATTTTAATACCATGAAGGACAGGAAAATTACAACTTAAGTAGAAAGGGAGTTTATTCCAAAGCGATGTGAGCACCACACTTCCCGATGCTGAAACTGGTGTGGGTGCCAGCTGGGCGACACAGCAGCCTGGCTGCACGGCCGATCAGGATAAGGAGGGAGAAATTACTGCACCAGCTGAATTAAGGGGGAACTTTAACTTAAGGTGGCCAGACTGTGCAAAATCAGAGCAGAACACTCTGGCTCTTAGGAGTCATACGAATTCAAGCTACTGTTGCTTCTTTTCTAAGCTATCTTTTAGTCCAATTACAATATAGACAGCTTTACTTGTACAGGATGTTCATGTTTCGAGTCTGCACAAAGAGGGCCTGTCAGTCAGAGGTGCACAAAGCTTTGTGCCACGAGAGACAAGACATGACAAAGTGCTGCCATCTGTGGAAAGGAATGTGAATTCTCTCTGCACCGCCGGGGGCTCCCAGAGGCAGGGCGCGCTGCTTTGGATTAACTGGTAAAAGAAAACAGCCTGTGTAAATTTAGAATTTTATGTCTGTTCTCGTGGAAACACGTTGAATGGCACTGCAATTTGATCATTCAAGGCAGCTGCAGCTCTGCGACGTGAACACAGTGGCGAGCAGGGTCACTGACGCCCTTCAGGACTGCTGTGGGGGAGAGGAACGGGAGGCTCACCCCAGGTTGACGCGCTCGGAGTCGCGCGGGAGGCCGGCCGGCGGGGAGGCCAGATGGCGGAAGGTGCAGTGCACCTCCCTGGGCCCTGGACAGCTGCAGGGCTGGGGGCAGGCCCGCAGGACGAGGGGCAGCGCCAGCAGCAGGCCCAGGGCAGCTCCGGCATGGAGGGGGTGGGTTCCCAGGGGAGACATGGCTCTTCCTCACTCCATCGTGTCTCCTGCTGAAGTGAGGTCGAGGCCTGGTGAGGGTTCGCGGCCTCATCGTTGAAGCTGAAGGCTATTACTAGTCTTAGGACTCGTGCTCTCACTGCAAAGGTAATGCCAACTGCTCCTTACAAACCCTGTTTTTATAATACGAAAAATAATTAAAACTCTCCAATGCAGTGGGTTTCCTTGCTCGTGTGGAGCCTGCGATGATTCACCCAGCCTGGCAAACTCCCACACAGATGTTATTAGGTTTGCTGGTGGGAGTGTGTAGAGGTGTACAGGCATGACTTTGTTAAGAAATATCCAGACAATGTGCATCAGTAATTGAAAAAAGCAAAACAGAACAGCATCATTTTGCACTAATCACCACACAGAGACACTATTAAAAGAAACAGGCTTGCTTTCTTCTCGGAAAGGTCAGTCATGAACACGACACAAATGTAAAACCACTTCCTCTTCTTTCTAGTGTCCAAATGTCACAAAATCCATCCCATCTGCCTCTGCCAATCTGCTACTAAGGCTATGAAACTCACACCTTTTGACTAATATTTCCCGTAAAAGAAAAAGACAATATAGAGCAAAGAATTCTAAGCAGAGATAATTTCGAACAAAGGGAAATGATGAAGAGCAACAGGGAGAAGGAAAGGAGGTTAAAACAAATATTCAAAGGTTCTGTCAACTGCAAAAGAACCGTAAAAGTAAAATGTAAAAGTGCAGTGTGGACGTGCATTTAAGCCTGAGAACAGGGGCCACTTGTTTCCCCAGAGAGTTGTGGATCAAACTACGTATCCATGTTGTTGGAGTTGAAACCTTGGATTCTTTTAAGAAACCACCAAATAAGATCCTTAGATTGATTCCCTACTGTACTTCTCTAATATGTGGGCTAAATGTGCAAGATAGCCTCCCTTTGAAACCTTTCTTAAGTTCTTATAAAGTGTGCAACTGAAGGGTATTGAGATCACCACTCTCAGATTCATACACGTTCATTATAAATGTACTTTCTCCCAGCTGCTAAAAAGATTAGTACATGGTATTAATCTGATCCCACCTCTCATCAGCTCTGTGTCTGAAATTGCATATTGAATTTATTTTAATGTGAACTTGACTTTCAAATCAGGAGCTGTATAAGCTATAGCGACTAGTTCTCTCTCTTTTTTAATCTGTATACTGTTACTATTTTATTTCAATCTCATGTTCTGTCAGTCTGTGTCAGTTCACACAATGAAAGGTTTATCTTTGCACCTGCCTATGTCTTGTCTGCCCCGTGGAAAGAAAATGTTTTTTTTTAAGCTGTCTCACGCTGCCAAACCCAGAACTTGATGAATACTTGAAAAAATATCATTACTAAAATATTTAACCCAAGAAAAAACATAGCATTTACATTAAGGATTGCAAGTCTCCACTAGCTCTATTTGACAAAAAAAAACACTTTAAAAAGGTGATGAACTGCAACACATTTCTAAAATGCTGCAAATATTTTGAAGAGGAAAAAAGGTAAATGCAACAGCTACCTGCAGTGGAATCACTTTGTATTTCGGACACATACATGATAATAAAAGTAAAATAAATAAATAATTCTAATTAACACAACGCAGAAGACATTCTTTAAAACTCATTTCTATTTTTGTCTCTCTCTAGCCCCATGCAAAGCACAGAAATGGATTCAGTGACAGTGAAAAATGATCACAATTACCCTTTACAGAGCTGAGGTATGATTTTTGGTTGGAGTTTAATGTTCCTTCTTACAGGGCTTCAACAGCATGTAAAATTTTTACTGGCTTGTAGAATCACTGCAAGGTACAATTGTCCTGATAAATCAAGGTAAGAGGACGCAGGACAAGCAGGACAAAAGAGAAGAATTGGCTTTGAGCCTGCTGGATACACGACCAGTTGTGTTATTACAAGTTGTCAGTAATGTAGTTGTGATTGTGGCAGGAAGCCACGACTCCCCCCAGCTCCTGGATCAGTCCAGCTGCTTTCAATAGCAATTAATCCCAGAATCTGAGGGACTTCAGTGCAGCAGGCAGAGCCAGCGATCTATCTGTACAGGTTGTGCTGGAGTTAGAATGACATTTGTCTTGTCTCTTTAACAGCTGCATAATTACTGCACTTCTGCGGGTTTTGGGGGCAGCCCACACTGACTCCTCAATTTGTACTCCAAGGGATATACTCCCATGTTTACCTGGGGGTGTTTCTGAAGCTCTTCTGAACTCATTTGGGTGCACTGGGAGTTCAGAACATGTTATTACAGAAACTTGGTTAAATTTAACATTGATGCCTTTAACCCTTTTCTACACTTTCAAGCACTGCTGAGGTGCTGCCCTGCAGCATTACAGAAGAGCAACACCTGTTCCCATCTCAGTATTCTAAACTCTCACAGCCATCGTGGAGAAGCCATCGTGTGAGTTACTATGCTGGGATCCTTGATGCAACCAAACATGTCTGCCCTTTAAAAAATACTATACTGTAAGAATCGTACATGAACAGTTCACTTCTATACACTGCTGTATCTGATTCAAGTATTGCTTACAGTGCCTGAAGAAGCGTCCTTTCGACGGCCTTGGTAACTGACAAATGTCACTTCACATTGAGTCTTTAACTTAGAACGGAACTTCGAACGATTGGTACAAACAACAAATAATAACCAGATTTGTTTAAAAAGCATCATCATTTGTGGTTTTTCTGCATTATAAACAGAACTGTTAACAGAATTACCTATTGTAGCTTTTTCCCCCACATCAAAACATTTCATGGGTACAATTTTCATGAGGTTTATAAAATTTGATTTCTAATTTTAAAAAAGAATCTCTGCTTCCATATAAAAATATCAAAATCAAACAAACGACGAAAAGAACTTGGCAGAAAATACCAAACGGACTAAAAAAATAATCTGCAGTATATGATTGGTAGTTGTATTAATCACTCAGATAATAACACATGACACTCCTTACCTGGTAAAGAGGGAAACTCGGATCCTTCCACAGGTGGTGGAATAACTGCCCAGTACAACCAGTGACAATTAAACCTTCACTTCAGAAAGGGGACCCAGAGCAGAGCAGACCAGACAGGGAGAAGGTTGTTCCTCCTCAGGACGAGTCCTGGAGCAGGAAGCGCAGAAAGAGCTGTACTCTGGCAGCAGCTCCTGTGCTCCACACCTGGATTAGTGCTTAAGTTCCTCTCTCCCCAGCCGCCAGCGCTGCGCGGAGCCGAGCTCAACTGCCTTCCTCTCTGTGCGCTCTGCCCTGTCTCTCCTCGTCTCGTCAGAACCTCTGGAGTCGGGAGGTGCTCACTCCCTCTCAGGTGCTGCCTCTCCCTGTGAGTCTCTCTCTCTCCCCGAACCCACTGGGACTCCTCTCCCCCTCCCCTCTTTCAAGACATTTACCCTGCTACCCCCCCCGTTCCTCTTGGTCTTTTCTGCTGAGCTCTCTTGACTGGGCTATTATTTTCGAGCACAAGAAATCAACTGCACAGGTGACTCTGTGAACCCGTGTTTCTATCAGTTTTAGGTTAAAGACACACAAACATTTATACTTGTGAAGAACAGCGTTGACTCAAATTCTATTTTAATTTACTGCTTTATGCGTCAGCCAGATGAAACTCAGCACGGGGGGACGGTAGACACAGAACAGAGTTTCAGAAGATGGTGAATAAAAAAGTGATTTGCCTTGTGAGGGCAGAGCTCACTGCTCCTCAGCCCACGTATAGTTTTCAAAATGTCCAGCTTTATGCAGAAGGTTTAGAACCAGAGATTCAAAGACATCCAACAAAGTCTGGCACAAAAGTAAATGTAGCTATGGGAGTTAGGCCACACTCACAAAGACATTTGCAGTTCCTGCATTTAGTTCCCTTTGAGAAAATAACAATTCAAACAATATTATGAATCTGAACTTTTTTTCATACTTTTAACACTAGGCAATGCAATCTTTGTGAACCAAAGGAAATCCTTTCTCCAGTATTTTCTTTGAGCTGAATGAATGGCTTCCTGAGGAAAGGTCTCCTTCAAATAGATGTCAGACCAGTAAAAGGGATGGAAGAATAGCGCAGCTGAGTCAAACAGCAGCCTCGTCAAAGGTAAGAGTTATTCAGTATGAACTCAGCATGCACTGTATGCCACTGGGACTGTGCTGCCTCTGAAACAGCCAAGCTGTCTGGATCTGTGCTACAGGCTGCTTTCCCTGACTGACAGGGGTTTTGTGCTGTATTTGGACTCTGTTCTCTCTCCTGCCTCCATCCCTGAAGATGCAGTTCATGGTCCATTTGCTTTCTAAAATTCTCTTTAAGATATCTGCTGTTCAGCCTCATCGCTGGAGTGGATTTTTAGAATCCCTCCCTAGATGAGCTGTGCAGTTTGGTGCCTTGTGTCCCCAGATCAGAATTGTCCAGCCCCTCCATGTCATTCATAGGTTCCTGTGTTTGACCTGGTCCTACACACCAGCAGCCTTCATTTACTTCAGTCTGTCTCCCCTCCCAGGGCTGCACAGTGTTCTGTAGTGCATGACCCACTGGGGGCTTCCATGTTGTTGCTGGATCTTTCTGCACATTTCCTGCTTACCTGAAGACACTGTCTCCTCACATCTCATGTACACGGTTATCCAACAGCTGCCCTCAGCTAATCTCAGTCTTGCACCACACATAGATGGCTATTCTTCCTATCTGAACACCAGAGCAACTAAGGCTGCCAAGGGGGCTTTTCTAAGCCCATTCCAGCAGTTCTATAGAGAGAATTACAGTTCAATATCTGTCATAGGATTTCTTAGTCACAGCAGGCAAAAGGGGTCTAGTGTATGTTTAAGTTTATATTTATTTTATATAAATATTTAATATTTGTGTTTTCAGTATTGCTATAAAAGCACCCCCCCCACATCTGTAAAGAAAATTCAGTCAACAGTGATAAACGCAGCTCAGCCTTCAGCTCTATCGGTGCATGGTGCATGGACTTATGGTGTTTTTATTTAGCCGTGAATTATAACTTCACTTGTTTTACAAAACTCATCAAAGACCACATCCATTTTAATGGTCATTTGTGAAAACAAATTCAGGTTTACAAGGAACAATGTTGAGCTGTTTGGTGCCACATTCTGTTGCCTGCTCTGTTAATAATTGTTGAGAATATTGGGACCCACTAATCTAGTTTTACCTCATCCAATTTCACAGCAATGTAGCAGAAGTTTGCCTACGGCGTGTCTTGCCATGTGTTTTTTATGAATGGCACAAATTTTCAACTGAGGTGGACAAATTCCTCATTTTTTCTGTTTCCCTTGATGCCATTTTTTCACTCAGCAAAGTAATAGAAGAAGCTTTTTAGAGCCCCACTTGATTCCCATCATATATAAGCCTGTAGAATTGTGAGCTTTTCTTGTTATTCCTTTCAGAATCCCAGTTCTGTTTGTCAAGCTCTCTATTTTAAAATGTGGTACAATGCCGGCTCGTAGATCATCTTCGAAATCTAGAGATATTTACAAGAAAAAAAACAGACGTGTTTCATATTTCCTCATGCCTTGGTGGAAACTCCATTTGCACGGCTGTACCCAGGCAGATGAATCAGCAGGTACGCAGTGTGGAGTTTATACTGGCACCAAAATGCACCTGATTTCTTCTAAAATTTCACGTCAGCAGTTTTAACTGTAATTGAAAGAAACAGACTGCATTCAAACAAGATTTGATTTCAGCCACTTTCAGCAAGGGATACTTAGAATCTGTATAATCTGTAAGATTAAATGGATTATAAAAGGATTGGATATTGACTGTGTTTAAAATGGCTTTGCTACAGAAAGCTTTCAATCACACTTGAGGCCCCTCAAGCGAAATAAAGCACTGTTCCAAATGAGTGTGGAGCTCTCCACAGAGAGAGTAACCAAACCCACCCATTTTTATCATTCTTTTATCATCAAGGAAAAAAACAACGTTTCATTCATAGTCCCTGTCTGGAAAGATAGTATTAAAGCAAGATTCTATCCCACATGAATCCATCCTCATGAATGGGATTTAATTACAAACTCCAGGTCTTCTGGAATAACATAAACAATAACTGATAATTAAAAACCCTGCCCTTGTCTAATACCAAACATAATGAGGTCTAATTACACAGCATTTCCACAGTTTTATGCTTGGGAAAAATCTCCTACCTTTAACTATAGACTGTCTGCAACTTCAAGGTTGAAAAGATGAAACTATTATCGGGGGCCTAATGTGTGTTTTCCCTCCTCTTGAGAGGGTGCTATTAATCAGCACCAGATTACAGGCATTCTGTCAAAGTGGTGAAAACAGTCGCCACCCTTCACATTCTGGTGTCTATGCTAGACCACCAGACAAGACCCCCTCACCAACTCCAGCACGAGGCTGCGCTGCTGTCCTCCTCAGCCTGATCCCAGAGGTTACTGCGGAGCAAAGCAAGCGTGAGTATCCCTTACCAATGCATACTGCATCCTAAACATTTAATGCATTTTGAATACATTTCTGCATTTTCAGTGTTACATGGATAAACCAACACATATTTCCTGAAGAATGTAAATCTGATTTTGCCCAACGACCACCGCTAGCCATTAGAATATGACTGTGGAGAATTTAGAATTACACTTTAGTTCAGGTGTTGCAAAATTACACCTCATAAAGTAAGCCAGCTGTTAATACTTTTAGAAAGTATTAGATATGGGACAAGCTAACTTTTATTTAGGCTTATGTTTCAGGCTGTGGTCAGGGTTATGGTTTTGTACGGATATACAAATCATTTACAGGAGGGTTTGGTTATTATCACAGTTGTTATTATCTTTTCATTTTCACTAATATATTGTATGTTTCTAATTTAGTTTCCATTCACTGTTTGCCAGTGCTATAGCAACCTGTTGTATAAGGTTTCTGAATTGCCATTGTACACAGACCCCTGTGTGGGCTCTCCTCTTTCCCCTCCAGGGCGGAGCTCTGCCACTCCCATGGAGCCCAGAGCTCATATGGCCTTGACTGCAGCTGAGCTCTTTGATTAATGAAGATATGATTAGCAGACGTTACAAAGAACAACTCTTTGTTTAATCCACACTCAAGTTCCAGAGTAAACGGGTGAAATACTCAGAATTTCACTGAAATATGTAATCCTGTTAAACCACACTGGAGACTGTCGTGAGAGCATGGGCACAGTTCCAAAATGTTCTATTCTGATCCCATCATACACACTTTCACCTACCCTGGAGGGAGTGAGTGCTTACAAATTGCTCATATTAGCTCTGGCTGATACAGAATCATGCCTTGCTGCTCTGCCTATAAGCACTTTCTGCCAGTAGCTGTTCAGGACATGATTGTTTCAGCACAGCCCCGTAACCACACACTGTGAAGCCCAGCTTGTCGTTCTCCCTCGGCCGTCCATAGTGTTTTTCCACTAACTCCCCTTCTGTATACTGTATATCTAGGCTGTTTCAGGTTCTGCTATGCAGGTCTGCAGCAGGTGCCATACTGTATGTTTCATACTTGTTAGTGTTGATATAATTAATAACAATGTGAACAACGTATTATTATTATAGCTCCTTTCCAAACCCAAGGACATTGTAATCGGTACAGTACGTGTGGGTATGCTACCATCGCGCAGCACAGGCTACGTCTAAGAAACTGTTCAGGCTTTCAGCCATTAAGTTTTCCTGATTGGATCGCTGGCTTCTCCGCATGGTCTTCAGGAGCACACCAGTATTCCTCCCATGTGGTTCGAAATCACAGGGGTCACACTTAGGCAAGGTCTGCTGCCCACACCTTGTACTGGCTACCCCTAGTAATACCTGGAAGGAAACTAGCATGGCAACAGCCCTGTGCGAAACAAACACAATCACGGATTGGAATAAGAGAAAACTACCAATGGTGCCTTATATCATGAGATGCCCTTGAGACTACTGTGCCTTGCCAATATGTTTTTCCTACAGTACAGTGGCCTACACTGCTGTTTCTTCACACACGAACAAATCCTTTTCACTCCCACTGTGCTGTGGTCCATGAACCACTTAATTAGCAGGGGCTGGCCACTAATTTTCAGGAACACCCCCTGGCGATGAGCACGTTAGATCCAAACAAGGGGGAAATCCTGAGCCAAAAACTCTCACAGGGGTACAAATGAGTGTTTACGTGAGTCCCCACACTGCACCCTGTCATTACCTGGCTCCTCTGAGAGTGTGGCCGTATTAGTCAAAACAGGGAAAAAAGAGGAACTGTTCAGGTTGCTGTGTGGGCTTTTTACAACTGCCGTCTCCTTGTCTCAGGTGAACTGATGCTTGCTGGAGGATTAAATTCATTTAAAAAATGATGTTAGATGTGCTGCCTGTCTCCACATTATACCAACCACTGGCTTCAATCTATGAGTTAGAGAGAAAGCCACAGATTGCTGCAGCGAGGACACAGTTAATAAATATTTGTGCAAAAAGGGACACAGATTATTCATAACTTGGCTGACATTTGTACCTAAAGTGACTTGCAAGTGTCCCCACTTACAGCTGTGCATTCCT